TGGTCTTTTGATGCATTTATGCCGTTGACCTAACACTTTAGAAACCTTGCAAAATATAAAAGCTTTGAATAGATGATTGGCTCATTAACTAATTTCCTCCAGACTGCTTGATGTTATTTTGTCTGAAGACCTGCAAGCTACCAGGGCTGAAGATTCAAATAACTTTCTAGGTGATAAAGGGTTCCCAGGCATTTAACTGCCTCCTGGTTGTTGTTTTTTAACAGGAAGGGCTTTAAAGCAGTTTTCCTGTTTAGGATAAGGTTTTGCTGTATTCTGCACTTTGGTTCTTAGCTTCATTTCTAGCGGGGTGAAGGGTGTGGGGTTCCTGGCTCCAACCTGAGATTGGCCCATAATTTAGCTCTCCATTCATGTAACTTCTTCTTAAGACATTGCCCAGAACAACAGAAATGAAAAGATATGAAATGATACTTTATATGCATAATTTCCCCCTTTCCATTCCTTCAGTGGAAGAGGCCTCTTATATGGTGACATGAAAAATAAGATTCAAAGTGAACAGGTGCAGGATATTGCCTCAGACAATCAAACCCTCACTTTAAAAAAATAAAGTTGACTTTTATGGTTTATGTAGATGTATTTATGCATGCATGTACATCCATTGGCAGATTTTATATGTCTGAGGGAAAAAACAAGGCACAAGGTAAGCCCAGGAGTTTGCCTTAGTGCAGTGCATATTAGCACAGCACGATGTGCGAATTGAGAGTAAATATTTTTGCTCCTTCAAAAATACTCTAGTAACTTCAATTAATAATATTCCATATCCTATAAAAAACTGAAGCACAAGTTACAAGCATATTTCATTAAATTGAGATTTGTTTTATGAATATTGCATATTGCCAAACGTTAGGAAGATGTGTTGAGACTATCAGGTGATGAATGGACAGAAAAGAGTTTAGTGAAATGTAGATTAATGACATTTGGGGCTCCCCTTTTATACAAATCTGGTTATTCTTTTATAAGCCCTCTAGTAAAATTGATATATGAAGCACTGCACTGAATATAATTTCTTTTTTAAAATGAAATGATGTAATGTGGTCACATGACCATCAAAAAAGCTCGTTAAGATCTGAAGCAGGTTTAGTTTGTATATTTAAAATCTAATCTAGTAAAGAGAGAATGGTTGTCATGTACAGTAGGTTGTTGTGATTTGCCAGACCTAGATAAACTTTTGTTTTAAAGGGAGTCTCTTTATCAGTCTGGAAATGCTATATCACTCCAGCAGAAACTCCTTTTTGTAAGATATGTGATAGTCCTTCAGATTCAAAGAAGACACTCAATTGTGCACTTCATTTGTGGACATGGAGGTAGCTATGCAGTCCCAGTCTGGAACTGCAGATCTAACACAATGGAAGCACTGGACATCCGTTGTTGTAATAATTGTGGGTGTTATTCTGTGATGGAAAGGATAACCATAGTTTAGTTTTGTGGAGATATAGATGTTGTGTTGATTGAACCCTCACATGAACACCTTCTGTATAATAAAATGTGAATTAAACATGGCAAATAGTTTACATTGATTGGTAAATGTGCAATGGATACATTTTGTTTACAGTTTCTTTCCTTTTAATCGTTGACTTGTTTTTGAATATTCTGGATCTTTAACAAATAAAGCATTATCACACATGTTAATGGACAATAAAAATTGGCAATCTTTTCTGGCCCAGTTACTATTGTGTGAACTTATGAAATTGCTTGGATACTAAAACCAAATAAACAGACTGGGTCAATTTTAGGGTTGATATAGAAACATGATTTATATTTTCTTTTAGTTCTGTCTTTTACTTTTTTCTGTTATTTGTGGCCTAATTATTGCCTTGTACATTGCATGGCCTTACAACTAATCAATTTTTTATTATTATTATTAACAAAAAACGACAGTGTACACAGCAAACGAGGTAACTATGCTGGGTTTCGTATCACAAATCACTAGTCAAACACTTCCCAAGTGTTTAGGACTGCGTGATGCATCGGCGGATTATGCGAGCAGATCCCAATTATTATTATTAGTATTAGTATTATTGTTATTATTATTATTATTGTCTTTTACTCATTAAACATGAAAGTCAACTGAACATTTAAAAATGTATCACATATATTATTGACTGGCACTGGTGGTTGATACACATTGATGCCAGCATCCTAGTTATCAACGAAGTATCTTCTTAAAATATACAACGTTCTGAGTAGCACAGTTTTGTGCAGTTCTGCTGGTGTTATTATAGGAAGCTGTAATTTCTTGATGTATTTTGAAAAATTCTTCGTCATGGTGCCAAGTGCCCCGGTGACAGTGGGTATCACTGTCATATGTTTCATATGACATAATCGCATAGTTTCGATGACCAGGTCGTGATATATTGTGATTTTTTTCTAGTTCTTTTTCTTTGACTCTGGTGTCTCCTGGTATAGTGATATCGATAAATTGTATGCTTCGGATTTCAACGACTGTGATATCTGGCATGTTGTGTTCTAAATGATGATCCGCCTATATTTGAAAATCCCACAAGATCTTCACATTACTACTGCTACTGCTATTGCTATTATTATTATTATTATTATTATTATTATTTTCCAACAAAAATGGATAGAATGTCACAGGATTTCTTCTACTTTGATTATCTAGGACAATGATTGTCAAAGTAAGGTCCTGACGGTCTCTGAGACCCTTTTATAAATTCTTGATTATTATTAATATCCTGTCCAAAGTCACTGTTTGAGAGTGTATCAGTATATGCTTCCAGTTAGTCATCCAAAAGTATCTTCATATCTATTTGCAACACGTTGTTGTCTGAAACAAAATTCTATTGAGTGTGGGTAATGTTCAAAATGACAATCATTGATCACAGTGTTTTAGAAAAAAGTGTCTTATGGAAATAATCACAGTTTATTTCACTTGGTTGCTGTGGGCATTTCTCAAACAGATCTTTTCCTTCTTTCCCACCAGAATAAGTTTCCTATGAGGCAATGTTCTATGAGTCTGACAACATGAAAGACAAGTTATCAATTTCACGATTTTCATCCCTCTGAGATAGGATTTAATTTGATTAAGAACACATGTGCTGCTGACATCTGTTTTAAAATAATGTGCATGACTTGCACTATTCTTTGATATCCATAACTATTAAATGCAATGCTAATGAGGATTCTAATGTTGATTTTTTAGCTCTCCATGAAAATAATTGTCAAAGGGTAGGCAGTTTTCCAGAGTGTATTAGTTTCTAGTACTCTAGGATCATTTCACCTCCTGATTTAGCTAAGCGGTTAGCCTACCAGTTCATACCATCTAAGATTTATCTAAATGACACTGGTTAGCAGTGGTAATGATCCAAAAGATCAAATTCCATTAACCTTGAGCACATGCCATAAAGCATTTCTCTGATCTATTTTTTCCACTTAAGGAACTTTGAGATTGGTTTGATGTTACATGAACTGCTCCATAGTAGCTTAAATGATTTCTATCATCATTGACTTGGCTCAAAGAGCAGCTTTAAGAATAAGAAAGTTCTTTCTTGCAGGATCAGTACAATCCTATTGTGCCTCAGGATTTTATTTCATTGCATCAGTTAGCTTGTTTGGGCTTATATATAGCATGAAAGCCGTTTTGTATCAAATTGGCCTTGAAAAATGACAATGAAGCCATAGAAGGAAACTTTGAATGAAATATAGAAATGTGGCCAATTTAATTAAAGAAAAGCATACATCCAGTTTTGTTTCTACTCAGTAGCTACTTCTAGGATTTGTGCTTAAGAAAGAAAAACATAACATGGGATTTCTGATTCGAAATGTTTGTTGTTATAGAAATGGCTAATTAAGCATGTGACAGTTTAAAAAAGGCTATATTTTATTTTATTATATCCTACTGTGCTGAAAAAAGTTGGAACATAATGCTTTTTTCCCTTTTTTCTCCTCATCCCCCACTTCTTTTTCCCCTTCTTTTCCCTCCCCCACTTCTCTGTTACTTTTGTACCTCTCATTTGTACTTTATATTATGATAAGTTTAATAAAAGTATATATTTAAAAAGAGAAAAGATGGGAATATAGAAGAATGGTGAATAATGACGTATCATTAATAAGCTCATATTTGTTTGTACTTCAATTATTATATGTATATCTGAGTGAATTTTATTCATTCACCATATGAACAGAACCATGTTCTGTTTTCTTGTATAGTAAATAGGAGCCCAATATTAAATCATAATTCAACTTCGTATGCAGTACAATATGGGGGTACAGCATAAAATAGAGTCTCCCATTAGCTAGGGTTCCCCTACTCTTTATTAAACTGCTTTGTGCAAATCAGGAAGGGCACTCAAATTGCTGTTTCCTCAACAGGCATGAGTGAGGAAGCTTGATAAAAAATGAGCTACTGAAGTGCTCATTGGGAATTCAGCCTGGAGCAGATATCTTAGTGTTTCATCCTCTTCTTTACATTACCCTAGCTCATCTTTTCTAAAGCTGGAATTACAAGACCCAAAATTCTCAGTCACTGTTTATTGGTGGTTCTGACAGGTGTCCCACCACAACTGGGGAGTGACAGTTTGTAGAAGTAGTCACAGGCTGTTTTTCTTTAAGGTAAAGGTAGCCCCCAAAAGAATCAGCATTTTTGTTGTTATTTTCACAATTATATAATATCTGGGTTTTTTCCTATTTATAGGCATATAATATAAAAGATCTTGTTAAGAAATATCTAGCACTTGGGTTCATGTTTCAAATCTATATGCATCTTTTCTTTCTAGAAGGTCATACCTTCTCATCCACATTGAGTCTTGATAGCTAATAGAAAAGAATTGAAATCCATGTTCTTGGTGCGATATTCTATTTAAAGGGACTTCAAGTTATCCAAATGATTGCAATATAGTGTGTTTAGGTAGTGGAAGACAGCATCACAGGTTAAAGTCACGATTTTATGGTTGGTAAGTTTTTGAAGAGACAATTGTTTGGTGGCAGGTGACTGTCGCATTAAATATGTCTTCTAATCTCCTCAGCTTTCAGCAGGCTCCATTGTGCAATTTGAGAAGGAAGGCTTCTCCTTGACAGCAAAGAGAGAAGAGAAACCCCTTCCTCAAGGAAATAAGCATCTGTTAGAATGGGCTGAAAAGGAATATGGAGCAGTAACATCCTTCACCGAATTTAAAATATCCAGAAATGTTTACATAAAAGTGGGTGAAGGTAAGTCTGTTGAAGCTTGTACAACTGTTAATAAGAAATGGGGTTTAATTAATGTTTGTCTTCAATCTTACCTGAGGGACATTCCTTGGCTCTCCTGAGATAAGAAAATTACTTCAAATGTTGTTTCCTTTGTATCCTTTTCATTGCCACAGGGGGAAAGAAAGCAGTGTTTTAAAAAGGGTCAATTTACACAGAATGTTAAGGGGGGGGGGATATTTGGCTTTCAAAGGGTTTCATTTGATATCCCACCGCTCCAGAAGTGGCAATTGAAAGATGAGAGGTTAAAGGGAGGAGGATTGTAAAATAAAACTTGCCAAATAAGGCTCACCACACTCTGATAAATTGGGGTGAGTATGTCTCTAATCCTAGTGCTTGTCAAACTAGATGTTTGGATGATTGGGTGCTGATCAGGAAGGTTTTCTGATGGGAGTTGAAGGTTTCACAAGTTAGTAATATTTTTTGCACCTAAACTAGAATCGAATAAATGCAGTCCCCTGCCATTTATACTACCAGTGTTTTTGAATAGGACTTTTGGCTATTTACATTGCAGGCATGGGTACTCATCAGACTCAGGACATCAGAGAGAAGTCTTTTGCCATCTTTTGAGATTCCAGTTTATAGCGATTGAGATGGTCAACTTTTGTGTCAGATTTTTCTAGTCTTCCGTATCTGTATCTAGATTATTGAAGATGTGATGTGAATGTTAGACTTCTGTATTACTTCAAATTGCCATGCTATAATATATTGTATTACAGACAACTGTATTTTCATTTATTTCTCCGAGCAACTGAGCTACACGTTTTATCTCTAATTTTTCTGATTTGCCATTTTGCCTTCTGTGTTACGATGCCCTTATTTCATAAAGCATTAATTAGTTAACAGTCTTTCAAAATCTACTTTGATGAATTTAAGTGTTCCCATTTCAATGCTGAAACTCTTTTTCCCTGTTAGCACTTGTTAGCACCTAGAATGTAATCCCTGTGGTTTTCCGTTATCCTTCCGTTAAATCTTTTTAAAATACCTTCCAGCTGCAGGAAATTTTATTGTTGATATATGACTTTTGGCAGCAATAATTTATTGAGGAAAGCTGATACATGATGAACATTTTTGATAAAAAAGGCTTATCTTGTTAAGCCAAAAGAACTAAAGTTTACACCAGTGTAGGGTCATGTTGGATAGGAATATCAAGGTAACACCTAACTAATAACAAAGCATGATATTGCCTTCCCCATTTTAAGCAAAGATGCTGTACACATACACACACATACACACAAAGATCCGGGACACACTTTCTCAGTTCAGACCAGAAAGTTGGCAATATCCAAAAGAGGTAAAGAGTTATTTATCAATTGTTTTTTTCTTGTCATGGAATCAGCCCTTTCATTAGCAATTGTTCCAGGCAACCACATATCCCAAACTGATGTTTTGCTGTTATTGTTCATTGGCTGGCAATGTTTATGTGAGTGGCATAGTGAAGTAGAGGACTGGTGAAGGTTATTGGCATTAATTTTCTTCCATAGGAGAATTAAAATCTTCAAAAGATGAAGACCAACAACTGAACAGTAATTTTCACCCTTTTATGTAATGAAGAATAATCACTGCGTATAAGAAATGGCAAGAAATTGCAAAAAATTATCAGAAATTAATAGGTCGTCCACATTAGTTTATCTGTTGAGGGATTGTTTTGCCATGAATTTAACTTTGCTCTAAAGTTGCTATAGAGATCTTTACTTCTTGCCTGGGGATAACTGTTGCCCAAGGACTACTATATCCATGCAGAACGGGGCTAGACATATAGCACAAAAAACAACACTTGCACCACTGTTATGATATCTACTAGTTCATAGTAGTACTAGTAAATAAATACATTTAAATTTATTAATAAAATAGTGACAAGCAGGTAAATAAATAAAGTGCACAGACACTCCCTGAGAACCTTGTATAGACTGTCTTATTTTCCATGATGACCAAAAAAAATACTGTAAAATTATAGGATGCAATCTTATTCTGTTATGTTATCTGTTATTAACATCTACCCAGATTCCAAACTTTTCTTCTCCATTGACAAAAATCACTAAGTTCTTGACAAACCATTTAATAATTCATATCTAGGGGGCCCCAGTGGCTCACAAGGTAAGACGCTGGGCCTGTGCACCGCTGAGGTCGGTGGCTCGATTCCTGTGAGCAAATAAACTGCCTAGGGACAAGAAAAGAGCCTCCCCCTAATTTTAAGAAGTTTGGGACCTTTTCTATCAATGGCTAGATAATAAAATATAATAATAGAATATTTAGAAACTTAGGAAATAATGAATATATATTTCTTTTTTTCTCTTTTGTTTTTGATACTATCTTTATAAAATTTTATTAAGATAGACTTGGCAAGATTTTATGATTTGTTATAAAATAAATTAAGTAAATTATAGTTATCTCGTTAAAGTATGGATTAATAAAATTATAGTCAAATGATTGTTTAATAATGATATCAGGCTATATAATTGTTGATTGATAATATGAGCTATTATGTAATATAACTACAATGGAGACTACGAAATGGATGCACAAAAAAAGTGGTAAACCAACCGATACACTGTCTGTAAACTCATGAAGGAGGATGAGGTTTTTATGTTTTATGTTTTATGTGTTTTTGTTTGTTGTCTTATTTTAAAAAGAAAAGAGCCTCCCCCGATTGCCTACAGGTATTCAGGCATCCCTCAGGTAAAGATAACACTGCCCAAAAAAATTCCTTTCACTAAGGCAGCCAGCCACCTCAGTGATCCCTGGTTAACACGTACCATACGCTATTTTTTTTTTTTAAAAAATCCATATTTCTTATATCAAGTTTACAGACATATACATTAGAACAGTGGTGTCAAACTCAAGGCCTTTGGGTCGAATCCAGGCCATGAGGTACTTAGATCCGGCCCATGGAGCCGGCCTGGAAACAGCAAAGGACTGGCCCACGGTGCTAACAGAAATGGAGCTGGGAAGCGGGAGGGGCTGCCCCTCTGGACTCCGTTTTCACTGGCAGAGGACTAAAAACAAAACAAAAGGAGAAATGTTTCCCTTTTTGCACTTGGGCATGCAAGAAGGGACAGAAAAGGGAAAGAGGAAAGACAAAGAAAAAGTAGGAAAGATGGGAAGAGAGCAAGAAAGGAAAATAAAGAAAGAGGGGAAGGAAGAAGAAAGGAGAATGAACAGGGAAGGAAAAAGAAAAGAAAGGAAGAAAGGGTATAATGAGAGAGAAGGAGGGTCTTAGGGAAGTCCTGCATTAGCACTTGGTCACCACAGGTGCCCCTAATTTGAGTCCTGTGTCACGCCCACCATACCCATTGCCACCCCCAGCCATGACCACCATGGCCATCCCCCCCCCGCCCTCCGAGGTCAAACACAACTTTGATGGAGCCCTCAATGAAATCGAGTTTGATACCTCTGCATTAGAATATACACAGTTTTACCAACTGTTCATTAGCATGAGCCTTATAATAAAACAGCAGTTATAATATTTGGCTTATACTCCCTACATTCACAGCTTCTGCAGGAAGTGCAAATTGAAATCATTTGTACAGCTCCATCTCCAGGTACCAGTTTAGTTATTACTGAATCAGGAATCTTTGTTAATAATACTTCTTGGCTGTCATTTCAGGGTTGCAACTCATGCGACCTTGAATACCATCTCTAAAATGCAGTAGCCTGATTAGTAATAGTTTAAGCCTAATTTACCTGTTCTATAGTCGTACAATGAGAGCTGCACAGGCTGTCAAGGTGGTTTCTGGATATAGTTCAAGATGTTGGTCATTACTTTTATCGCCTTTGTGTCTTAGGAACTTATGTATCAGATGCCTTCTTCTAGTGGTACCTGTTGACCAGGTGAGATGTAGAAGAAGCAGCTTGCTCTGGATCCCAACCCCCAGGAAGTGTTGTCATCAGGGACCTGGTGATGAGATTTCTCTCTGCTTCCTCTGGAAGAAGTTATTTACATAGATAATAAGAATGGTCGAAACCCTGGTAGTGTTTCAGAAAGCTGGCAGGACTTACCTGGAGGATCTTTGCAGACAACATGGTTGGTTAAACAGAGGAAGTGCCACTAGCAGTTGATGAAGGGCAGATGACTGCCGTTATTCATTGTCTTGTTTACTGCTTACTGTAAAGTGGGGGCGGGTTTACATTACTTGGGGTATTTTATTCAGCTGGAGTAGCATATCATCCGAAGTGTATCATATACAGTAGGTGTAGATGGGGATAGTAAAAATGAAAACGGTGTCTCCTCACCCTAAGCTGGACTACTGAAAAATGCTCTTTTTAATTGGGAAATATATAGAGAAAAATGAATAAGTTGAACTAGGGCCTTATTAATTACCAGTTGAGTCAATCTTTTGCTAAGGTTTTTGCTTGCACATAGGAGCAACTGCTGAAAGTAGATACATACACATACATTAACCGTATGCATAACATTAGACACCAGAGCAGTGTAGTACACATACCCAACCACCCACTCACCCATTTTTCCACTAACTACCTGCAAAATAAAACATAGCACACATGAAGCCCATTCACTCATATGCACTTTAATTTCATAGTAATAGTTTATTTTTTTAAGTTCTAATTTACAAGATCTGTGTCATGCCCCTGTTGGAATCTGATTCTGAGGGGGAGATCAAGCAGCTGACAGGGAGTGGGAGTGTGGCTCCAGTGACTGTGGAAGAAACTGGGGAAGGGCACAGTCCAGCTGGACATTCAGAGGAAGACCCAGGGTCACCCCCTCTTCATCCTCGGGCACGCAGGAAGGAACGGAAAAGGGAGCAACACGAATTATGTTAATTACAGGGGAGAAAAGGGCCCTGATTCCCTTCATTAGCTGTAACTGGGAAAACAGGATTTAAAAAGGGCGTTTGCACACCGTACCTTGCTGGAAACAAAGCGTGAATTATTTTGGTTTGTCAAGTCTTATCTGGGTTCTGGCATCCTCTCATCCTCTGTGTGTTTTGTTATCTATTGAAGTTTCCATTTACTTATCCTGCCCTGTCTCGTTAATTGCTGCAGCGTGGTTTGTGTTGGTTTTTATTTATAATTTATATCTACTTTGGGTTCAGACTGAATTTCTTCTCTTTAAAAACTGTTCTTGGTAGAGTTTTTTTCTCCAGCCGATGATAACTGGACATTGGGGGCCAAGTTGGTGGTATTAAAGGGACTTTATCTACTTTTGTGACTTTCCTGCTTTTGTGCCACGCCCCGGGTCATTGTTCGTAGACATCCCTGCATAATCTCTAATTAATGCTTTCCCTTCCTCCATCACTCGCTCCAGCCTAACGCAATAGCAGCAAGGATGTAACATTCGGGAAAAGCAACCCAGTCACAAGGGACTCTGAAGGGACCCAGTCTCAGCCTCTGAAAATACAGGTAGTCTTTGACTTACAATCACAATTGAGCCCAAAATCTCTGTCGTTAAGTGAGGCATTTAAGTGAGTTTTGCCCCATTTTACAATCTCTCTTGCCACAGTTGTTAAGTGAATCATTGCAGGTGTTAAATTAGTAACACGGTTGTTAAGTGACTCTAGTTTCCCTATTGACTTTGCTTGTCAGAAGATCCCAGTTGGTGCTCAGATGATCCCTGGGACATTGCAGATGTCCTAAATATGAGTCAGTTGCCAGGCGTCTGAATTTTGATCACATGATGATGGTGATGTTGTAACGGTCATAAGTGTGAAAAACAGTCATAAGTCACTTTTTTCAGTGCCGTGGTAACCATCAGTAAATGAACTGTTGTAAGTCGAGGACTTCCTACTCATGATGATGCCACAGTGGCTAGAATGAAGTATTGCAGGCTAACTCTGCCCACAACCTGGAGTTCGATCCTGAATGGCTCAAAAAAGTGGGTAAAATGAGGACCCAGACAGAGAGAGCTATAAAGCTCTGTGAAGTGGTATGTAAGTATAAATGCTATTGCTATGGCACTCCCAACAGCAAATTATGCTCTAAAGCCAAAACAAAACTCAGCATCTGTATCTTTTATTTTAAGTGCAAACACTCTAACCTGTTGAGCAAAGTTAAACAAAAAACAAAGATAAGGGACACACTTTGTTAACCGTTAGATACAAAACTCCCAGGGAATCTCTGGGTAGAAGGCTAGACTGGGAAGTCATAAAACCACCTCCAGTTATCATCGGCTGGAGAAAAAAACTCTCCCAAGAACAGTTTTTAAAGGGGACATAAGTCAAAGCATTTGGTTTGGTTGCCATGAAACCTACCTGGGTATGTCCATATAATTCACCAGAAGTCTAGTTCAGCTCAAAGGAGTCTTGAGCTTTACCTACAATGTAGATAATGTATTATTACACTATGATTGTTCCCTGCAGCTGAATTAATCCAAACAGCATATGTTTTAAGGTGATACCAACATGATGAAAAAAGCTGCCCCCTTTTTGACTTATTTATCTGCTGGTACTGATGACTGAAACAAGAGGATGTTCCAGAAACACACAGTGAAGTTACAAAATCTCCTGCAGTGTTTTCGCATTCAAACGCGTGGTGATATTCTCCGAGAAAGGGCTGGAAAGCCATTTGCCCATTTGAAGACCTTGTGTTGCCTCCATTGAGCATCAATTTTGCGTGTGTGCCTTTTTGAGTACGTTAATCTGAGTGCAAGCTGGACTTCTTCAGGATCACTTTCCATTGTCTGAATGGGAGGAATTGGCAGAATATCTCTGCAACTTTTGAGATCCCATCTGGCAGGATACTTAACAGATGTTTGGGGAGTGCTCTGTCAGACTCCATGAATAGATTTACTTTCTCATGGCTCACACAGAAGAATCCTCCAGAGAAGAAGGCAAAGGGACACTAAAACTGAGTTAGGATGGAAAAGATTAAAAATAAAACTGCCAGTGTCGATCCATTCATTCAACGTCTTTGGTATGATCAGATGTGAGTGACCATATTCTGTGTGTGTGCGTATGTGTATAGTTCTAGTTGCTATATCTCAAGTTGGATATTGGAAAACTAGAAAAGATCAACTCAAACAATTAAAAGGCTGGAGGAATTCCCCTATAGGAAAAGTTTACAACGTTTGTGGCATTTAGTTTACTAAAAAAAGGGACAAGGAAACGAAAATAATACTGTAGTTCCCTTTTCTATTTATTTTGTAGAGAGCACTACCTGCTTTTCATGAAAATCATAATGATTCCAAAGTAGAATATAAAACAGTAATCCTAAGTAGATATGATGTGGAAGAAGTCTATGGAGATTGAGTTTCTCTCTCTCTCTTTTATAATGCAGGCAGTCCTCGACTTAACAGCAGTTCATTTAGTGACCAAAGTTAGCATGGCTAACTTATGGTGACTTATGACCGTTTTTCACACTTGTGCATCTCCATGGTCACATGATCAAAATTCAGACATTGGGCAATTGCCTCATATTTATGACGGTTGCAATGTACCGGTTGCATGTGATCCCCCTGTCAGCTTTGGAAGCCATATTGAGATCAGATGCTCCCACCCTGCCACATTTGAGCCTGGGAAAGTGGGAGGGGGGAATATTGGGGGATATCGAGTTAGACATAATAATATTCTTTTTCTGATTCAAGGTCAGGTTGTGTTGCACATAACTGAGAGGAAGTCTTAACTGGGGATGGATGGTGATTGGCTCATGTGATGTGAATTGCAGGGTGCAGGGCATGGATTGTGTATTTTTCACTTATTGCAAGGGTCTTTCAGATTCTGGATTCCACAGTTGTGCCAGTTACTATCCAAAATAAAAGGAGCCTTTAAGAGATGTCCGTCTCGGAGTTATTGGGTGGAATGGAGTGTTGCTGGAATGCTGACACCCCCTTGGCAGCTTTCTGAAAAGCAAAGTCAATGGGGAAGCCAGATTCATTTAACAACTGTGTTACTAACTTAACAAATGCAGTGATTCATTTAGCAACTGTGGAATGAAAGGTCATAAATCGGGACAAAATTCACTTAACAACTATCTTGTTTAGCAATGGGAACTTTTGGGCGTAATTGTGGTCGTAGGTCAAGGACTACCTGTATTGGAAGTTGTATCAAAAGCCAAAGAACAGCGAGACATTCATAACATGTTGTATTGCTTTAATTAACAGTACAAAAATGGAAAAAAGTAAGTCATACAAAAATGGGAAAAAGGGATGAAAAAAAAGAAAAGTAATTAAAAAAGGAAAAACACAAAAGTAAACAGAGAGGAAAGCAGAGGAAACTAGAAAGCATCTAGAACCTATTTCCATATAAGGAATTAATTTCTAAACATATAATTAATTCTTGACTACATGAATTAATTTATTAGACAGATCAAGAGCTAGTTTGTAACCAGAAAATGAATGTGTAATTTCCACATTAGAAATCTAGGATTGCTTTGTCCTTCTAACATTGAAGAATGAACACAGTCCTTTTTTGCATGTATTCTTGGGGCGGGACTTGTATTTGGGGATATTTGTCTGTTGTATTTTTGCATATGTGTTATAATAAATAACTTGAGCTCTGTAATGTAAGAGTTCTTGTTTTTGGAGAAAGTGTTCCATAGGTAGCAATGGTGATTCTGTAAGGTCAAAAGTTGACAGTTCCCTAAGGTAAGTTGTCCCATCTGTGCATTAGGTGGAACTATCACACATTATGTCACTCTCTCTGTGATTGCAAGCCTGGGTTAAAGCAAATTTGGAAACAAAGGTTTGGAGGAATAAGGGAATTTGTTTTTCTCAGTCTTTCACTATTCTTTGGCACCAAAGCTTTGCTTGAGATTTGAAATGGTGTGAGATATTGTATCCATTGTTCAGACACCTGATGAGCATATTTAAGCTAGACTGAGCTTTGCTATTCTTTACCCTTAGTTATGAATTCTGTAATATAAAAACTTTGGATCTCCATGTTAATTGTTGAATTGTAACTGTGTTAACAAAAACGTACTATAATCATCAGAAAAGGCTTGAGTAACATGAACAGCAGACACTGAAAATGCCAACAATTAGATTTCTCCCCAGGCTTCTTACTCTGCACTTACTCTGTTAATTTTAGAACCTTTTCTTAGAGTTGAACAAATCAAATCAAATAGAAAATGGAAGGAGTATCTTGACTTTTAGCATATGTGAGATTTCTTGAATGTGTTACAGGTAGTGATATAAATTACTACATATTGGTATGACTTAAAATTGATTAAATGTATAAAATGTACAAAAGGGAAAAATCAGTTCTGAACACAAAAGAATATTTATTGTATTTAGTTTGGGCATCACTGCAAATGTAATCTGTATAATTGCATTTGACAATCTCAGGTAATTAAAACCAATGTATGAAATAATTTTTCTTTTTTTAGTTCAACTTTTTCCTACAACGTGCAACATAGAAAAGAACTTTATTTCTTTAAACTACCTTGCGGGATACCTACAACCAAAGGCAGCAGAGGGATGCATTATGTCTAGAGTGGCCCATGATAAAGAAGTTCATATAATTGAACTTATTGCACCTGATTCAAACAGGTAAATGTTTTAAATAAAATTATATTTCTTCAAACTGGGAAGGGACTGGTTTCAGCCCTACAGCAGTTTTAAAGGCACCAAGCCCCATATTGTAAAAGTCACATAAAAAGTATAAAAGTACAAAATATTGAAGTTGACACTAGATTTTATAGACATTTGATACAAATTTGTAAAAGGGAATAAGTAGAAAACCTACCATTTTATAATTGGAACTGATATGTTGATGTTTTAAGGTCATAAATTCAGTATCTTCAACCTAACATTTCAAACACGGGATAAATCTAATGAAGCAAATCAAATTAGATGTGGCATTTTCTCTTAAAATGATGGTTTCAGTGCCAAATTGTAATAAGCACAAAAGTCAACTATATAAAGGATTGGGCATCTGGCTTAAACATCATGTAGCATACAATAATTGGACATAAGCTTAAAAGTTGCTTGAAGTCCTCTTTATTTACAAATTATACCATGATTAGGATTGAATGCTGGGCATTTATCTTTTATTATAAGAAGCTGTCATAGCTGGTGACAATAAGGTTGGTATTGTAGGAGAACGAGTGCCAGAACCTGAGGGCAGAGTTAAAAGGGATATCAGCCTAGAATCCCTACATAGCCACAAGGTGATTAAGTCCAACCCGCCCCTTGAATCCTATTGCTCCTTATCTAACTCCAAGCAGGTGCTATTAGTTGAGAATATTCCTATGCAAAGACATGAGTAGCAATAAATCAGTTTAATTGGACCTTTAACTGGGCTGGACTGGTGTCAATTTATTCTTAACTCAGAAAAACTCAGGAGGGTTGGACATGATTCCTACTAGGTGGGAAACTATTGGGAAATGCTGAAAATTAAACTAGAAAGTTGATCAAACATCATGGGATAAGGTAATACAGAGACCACATACACGCTTTTGTTAACAAAATTATCCACCAAGAATTGAAATAGTTTTATGAGGCTGGCATAAAGAGATAGAAAGTAGTAGTCCAAGGGATAAAGGGGAATAATATAAAGTTGTAAAAGGGTTGAGAAGAGAGAATAGGGCTCACAATCAGGAGTTGGAGAGCAAGAAATCAGCTATTGATTTAAAACAGGCAACAAAATATTTGGCAACAAAGTTAGCATATCTCTCTATCATTTTAAAAATGAAGTAAAACTACAAAGATTCAGTAATTCTGTGTTTATAGAATTTGCTTCTAAAATCCAGCAAGCAGATTGAACTCTTCAGGCTGTTTCGCTGTTTGCCAAACTATGGTTTAAACTTTGAAGAGACAGCAAAGTGACTTTTGCTTCATACTAAAAGTACCAAAGGGATCAGAGGTATAAAATCTGCATTTAAAACTTCTGATGCAAAAGAAGATAGCTCTTTTGTGCAGATGTGAAAAGCCAGCTTTAAGTGGTTTTCTTGAACTGACACCAAAACAGAGAAAATGTGCACTCTTTAAATGGGAAAGACAAGCTTTCTGAGGAGCATTATTAGTGTAAAAAGTATGTTGTTTCCATTGTTATTTAAAATTGTTCTAGCAAGTGTGGTGGAACAGTCTGTTTTGCACATGCTGGATGTCTGGGATAATCTCCAGTGTTTTAATCTACTGGCCAGACACTGGGAACATGATGGATTGGAAGAAGGTTGAGAGCAAACATTTTCTGGCATGCAGGCTGACTCTGCCTTGCTTTTCCACATCCAGCGCTTTCCAGGTGGATATCATCATTGACATCAGACCATCTCGGCCAGACACCACACTTGTCAGGGATCTTGTACTTATCCTCAAGTGCAGAAAGTCTGTCAACTGGGTCATCAAATCCCACGACGTGCAGGGGAGGTTGGAAGCCATTGTAAGTAGATAGTGCCCTGCTTTGTGGTCTGGAGGAGGCATGGGTCTGTTAACAGCTCCTGCTTTGCTGTGTACAAGGAAAGGCCTGATAACAGAAAGGCTGACTAAATCTCTCCCTCCTCTTTTGCTAATGTTGGTGCTTTGTTTTCTTCTAACCTACCAAGCAGCTTGCTACCGTGTAAGGCAGGGGTGGGGAACCGATGGCCCTTTTATGACTTGTGGACTTCAGCTCCCAGAATTCCTGGCTGGCTCAGGAATTCTGGGAGTTGAAGTCCACAAGTCATAATAGGGCCTTTGATCCCCACCCTGGTGTACAGGATGGATCAGCGTTCATTTCTGAAAGCCTTTATAAGCCTCGGGGGTGCATTGCACCCTGTTCTGTGAACCTGTGGACTTTGAACCTTTTCTTCAAGCTCTTCATTCAGCAAGAATCAAGTTGTTAAATAATATTTTTATTTAAATATTAAGAGCAATTTGAAAGAGGAAGGGTCCCATGTATGTGAAGTTCCTGTGTTGTTCCAGTCACAGTTCTAAAAGCTGAAGAGATTCAGTGACTATCAGATTCCTCCTGCTCCCAAGAATGCATTCATAAATGACACCATCTATCTTCCGTCTGTCAGTTTAATTTATATGGCTGCTCATGTCACCAATGTGATTCTGAGAACCAACAATTGCATAGAACAGTGCTTGCCAGTTGTCAGTTACACAGTATTGCTAAATAGGGGATATTTCTCACTGACAATAGCTCCAGTTTAGCATTTGGCACTTTGGGGCAGGTGCTGGGATCTCATTCCATAATGTTAGAATCTCCTTCTCTTAAATAGAGTAAAAAATTAGGCCTTCGGAGCAGCTTTACACAACTGGGTGTAACTGCCCTTTTCATTTCTCACAGCTACCTGCTTGGGGCCTTGTGAAAAATGAAAACAATTGCTAGAAATACTGCAGTTAGGCCCATCAGAGGACTCCAAGGCAGCCTAAACCTTGTTTACATAGGACTTTTGTGATAGGTGTGCTGCTCAAGAAAATCAGATTTCTCCTACTGCGTGAGGATGTTTAAGTCAAATCACACCACGCTAAAAGGTGTGATTACATGTTTAGACTCGGATATATGATTAAAATCAACAACACTTTGAAGGGTTTTCACTGACGTGAAAAGCAAAGAGAAAGCACGACTGAATTGGGATGGGATGACCTCCAGTCTCAGGGTTGCTTGGAAGAGAGAAACTGATGGTTTGGTAATAAAAAGAAAGGAGAAAGAGGAATGTCAGAAAGGGGAAATGAGCCCATTACAGAGGTGATATGTGTCTGACATGCCTCTGGCTTTGGATTCCCTCTGTGCTTTAGCCCCGCTCACTATGATTCGTCAGCAGAGTATTTCTGAGAAAATGCTGTCTAGAATAAAAAGATTGCCCATCCCTAAATGAAAAAATAAATGGGAATAGAACTACAATAGCTTAAGCCAGTGGTCCCCAACCTTTTTTGTGCCGCGGCCCAGTACCGGCATCACAAAATCATCCGCAGCCCAGTACCGGCATCAGCACGCATGGCAAGGCGAGCCGAGCGACCGGCCAGCCAGCCGTCCCCCGCTTCTCCCCACCACCTTCAACTCCTCCTTTGTACCTGTGTCGATGGGCTTCGCAATGGCTTCGGGACGGTCGCTCGGCTCGCCTTGCCATGCATGCTGAAAGAATCCTCGCGCCTTAGTTTTGTTCAAAGCCACCACCCCCCTCGATGAAACTAAGGCGTGAGGATTCTTTCAGCACCCAAACGCTGCTTTCTACCTGGAAAAGCTCACCGGAAGCACTTTTTCATCAAAACAAGATGGCGGCGCCCAGCAAACCAGCGGCCCATTAGAAATTGTTCCACGGACCAGTACCGGTCCGGGGACCGGTGGTTGGGGACCCCTGGCTTAAGCTGTTCAGTTCAATAACTGGAAAATCCAAGGCAGTGACAAGCTTAGAGGTAGATCAGTTCTCTTCCTGAAGCATTTCCAGGAACCTGATGCATATTGAACCAAGGACGTATTCAGTTCAGGCCTGTTCTTAACACACTATCTTCAGTACTATACATATTTCCTTTTACGCAGCAAAGTATGGTTTCTGAATAAATGTTTTCCAACGGTTGCTTAAATGCAACATTGCTAAAGTGTCCTGGTTTGGAGATTACCAGAAGCCTTTTTTCAAACTTGGATGTATATGTAGTATTTTATTTTTATCGCACACTTTAATATATTGCTCTAATTGTGTTAACTGCCCTAGTAGAAGACATATATTCTTTTCAAAGACTGAAAGATTACTTGGGGATGATGTTCAGTTTTGCAGATGTTCCCCTGATTGTCCAAACATTCTGAAATCAACAATTACAATTTAATTTAACTCCTGCTGCCTGATAGGGACAGGTAGTAGAGGAGAGACAATCTTATAACCTGCCAATCATTAATAATGAATTATAAGCCATAAGAATCATTACAGTGTCTTTTCTGTCCTTTCCCCAACTGACTGGAAATTCTGAGAACTGAACTTCAAACATACTTAGAGAGCATCAGGTTGCAAAAAGCTGTTGCAGTATGTATTTCCTCTCAATTATCCTTTGGCATAGAGGATTTCATTCTGTTTGCTAAGTGCAGTTATGGCACTATATGATGCCATCAACTCTTAGAGCCATTTTATATGTTAATGGTTATCAATAGAAGAGTCTCATGAAGCTGTGAGATTCTGTCATATGGCTATTCCTCAGTTGAAATTGTTTGAACGTATTTTACACATTACCCACTAAGTTTTGTTCCTTTCGATAAAATTCCTTGTGTGGACAAGAAAACATTGATTGAATGGTACAAAATAAATGAATGAAAGCAAAGTTTGATCTGGAGTGATAGTTAACTAAACCTTTCAATTTACAAAAACATTAAGTTTTGCAAGAAACAAAACTCTTATCTAGAGCTAAAGTTTTTATTTTCTGTTTTATAGACATCAAATGGGGTTGGCTTTGGAAAAGAAACTGAACGCTCTATGACCATGAGTAAAACCATAGTGTTTGATATGCCTTCCTCTCATGAGAATTTGATTGCCTGGGCATATGAGCATGGTCACTACCCAGTTACTACGTACACAAAAGCACCCCTTGCTAATAGATTTCACCTACAACTCGTGGATGCAGGTAAGGAGGAACATTAGATCATATTAAATACAACAACATTCTTTTGTTCCCTGGGGTCCATTTTCCAAAGGTCTTGAATTGAGTAGATACTTGATGGGCATTTTTGCTCCCGGAAATTACAGTGCGGAACGCCACATTTGTGAGATGATTCTCAGCTTTGAACTTTATTTGTCAAATGTGCAGTTGTCCTGAGCTAAGGATGCTGAGGGAACTCATGCTTTTATATTTTGCATACCATGCCACGGCTGTTTTTACCTCTCCAAGAACAAGGAAATAAAAGAAAGCTAGTTTTTCAGGAGGGATGAACACTGGGTGGGTTGAAGGAAAGGATATGCCCCACTCAATGAGATACCTTCATTGTTGTTTTCTGTGAGGAAAGAGAAGTGTCAGGTCCTATTTGTACTTTAAATAGGATTCTTAACATAATATCTGTTTCATGCATCCTGCTAAGTCGGCATTTGTTATAGTGACTTTTTTATAACCATGATTTGTTGAGAAAGCCAGGAACAAGAAAAAGCCAGTTTTGCCGATAAGTCTTATTGGGTAAATTCTTAGGATTTTTCTCTTTGTTATTTCTGCCAGCAACAACAAGGGCTAAGTTGAGTTAAAGACAAATTTAAGAATAAACCATTGTTACACATTCAGACATAATAAGAAATGGTTAAAACAAGCTGGGAATCATAAACTGTATCAAATATGGACTTGTTGCAAGAAAAATAGGGCAAAGAAACTATTTCTTGGGAAAGGAAATAAATAATAATAATAATATCATGGTTTAACGTGTCCCAAAAGTGCTTTTTCAACCATGAAAAAGGCATGGCCTAGATGACTGAGAATCTCCAGAGACATGGTTTAACATGCTTATGTGAACAAACCAGTGCATGACTCTAGTTATGAATAAGTTGAATGCAATTACTATTTGTAATTTCTCTTTTTCCGTAGAAGAAATGAATGATGAAGAAGAAGAAGAAGATTTTCTTCCACCAGAGCTGAAGGAACTGCTGCATGGCATTAAAGCTCCTCCAGCCCCACGCTTGAGTGAAGACATGCGTTTCAGTTTTCTTCATGAGAACAACCAAGGCTCCTTCCCATCAGCTGATACTGTTGACCCAATCATGGCCAGTCATGGTTTTGAACAGCTTCTTCCAAAAGACCCGGAGCCAGAAGAAGTCCAGGGTAGCGTTGATGTCGCCATGTCTGTGATATGTAACGATACGTCCATGATGGTAGCGGTAGCAAAAGACTCCCTAGAGGTTAGCATGCTATTTTCATTTCATTTCAAAAGGAATTATTTTGGATTCTGGGTGGTCATATGGATATCGGTGCAAGGCTGGTATCACCACAGCTGCTTTGTACTGCTTGGGGTTCCCCTCAAGGCAAAAGCCATTCTTCTTGTCAGCTGAGCAAGGGTCATGTGACCTAAAGGACCATTTGGCTCTAAAAAGTATTGACGCTCAGCTGAGTCCACAGTCTCAGCACTGCAGCTTTTCTTCAGATATGGCTCAAAGCCTAGTCAAGAGAATAAAGCCATAGTTTTGAGATACTAGAATTGACTGTCATTTCAAAGAGCTGGTCACTTTCTGAAACACTCTCTCCATTTAAAAGTCCACTCATCCCACAAAGAGGAAATGGAAATGTTTACTGCCTTCCTCCCTTCTATAATAATTTTTATGCATGTAAAGAAAGTTCATTTTGTTTGTAACTGGATGGGAACTTCAAAAAATCAATTTCTCTATGGTATTTTATTCTGAAATGTTCAAGTCTAATTTACAGTCTCAAGGATCTTGAAATTTCATTCTACTGAATGGGTAGACAATCCAATTGCTTATCAGCTGAACACCTGCCCTGCTGGTTTCCTACTTCATTCATTGTGACAACACAAAAAATCATACAATATGTTTCCAATACCGAATTTCTCGGAATGCTTGGTACCGGTTGTTGCTTTGTATCACTGTCCTTTGCTGTTCTGATTAGTGGTTCAGGTATAACCTTCTGTCTTGTTCTGTTTCCTTTTAGGCTAGCGGTTTCTTTGGGACACAGCTCTCTCTGCTGGATCCTAATTGCAGAGCTAAAGCAAACAGGACCCATTTTATTCTGGAGTCATCTTTGCATGATTGTGGGACCCGACAGATTCCCAATGCTTTGGATAACATTGTCTATCTCAACTCTGTGAGTTTCTTAATCTCCTAGAATACTGAGATGGAATCCTAAATCTCTCTTTCTGCTCCTTAGCTCTTAGAAGACATCAGGAGGAGGAGCACAGATTAGTCAAGAGTGTTTCTCTGATGCAAAGCTACTGAAACCTGCTCCACATCTTTTCCCAGATTTATAGCTAAAAACAGTGAAGCGCAAAATACACAAGATGGGAGGAATATTTCCTAGTGGCTTTTTAGTCCACAGGTTACCGTTATAATATCTTTCATCTGATACATGTACAATGTTGACTTCTAACAAGAGACAGTGGGATAGTAGCACTATCTCATTCCATTCTTCAAATATGGTTGCCTCCCCCACCTTTTGATTGTCTGAATGTTTGCATATCTTTGTCCCTGAAAATTACAAGAACTTCATGTGAGTCCTATAGATTTATAGACAGGGTCTGATCTTTTGTCTATTATTTCTGAAATAAAGTCATCCAACTTGCAATAAAAACATGGCAGTATCCGCAATAGCAATAGCACTTAGACTTATATACTGCTTCATGGTGCTTTACAGCCCTCTCTAAGCGATTTACAGGGTCAGCATTTTGTCCCCAACAATCTGAGTCACCAATTGCAGAAGGATGGAAATGATCATGCTAGAAGACCCTCAAATGTTTCTGACGCAGTTTGCCATGGAGGAATGGGCCAAAATTCCTACAGCACAATTAAAAGACTGATCACCAAGAACTGTTTGGTTGAAGTTATAACAACTAAAATAATGCAACTAATTAAGGAATCTACGAGTTTTAATTTTTCATTCTAGCACTTTGCCAATTGGGTGACTTTGTTTAGGATATATACCAAGCAAGTGTGAAACTTTAATATTAGTTTGTCACACAGATTCTATTTCAGCAGAAAATATATATATCTGATAACGTTCAGGGGCAAAGGTATGCAAAAATCTGCACAAGGACAAATATTTTAAATAGAACTATATGATATCTCTTTCCGTTGCTCATCATTGTTATATGGGATTGGGGTGAGAGTATTTGGATAATTGCAGTAATTTTTCAATATTAGATGCAAGCATGAACTTATTTAGAAGTAAACCAAATACAGTAACTTGGCAATTTATTTTAAGTTAAATCATATAGTATATGCTTTTGAGGGAGGGGCTTCCTGGTATATGCTAGTTATGTCGAATATATTTTCAATATTAATGTACATTCGATGCTGAAAATTTGAATCCAATTTGGTTTTTCCAAGTGTGTAAGCAGCTATGCAAGGTATTGTGCCTAAGTAAGATTTTTCCCTTCAGTCTGGTTCAGGATTTTCACTGTGACTTGGGTGGATGTTGGCCAGTTCAGGTAAACAAGCATAGCTATTGGCTTTTGTAATTTCAGCACATAACGACAATTTTGGCAAATGAAGAAAAAGCTGTTGTCCAACTCAAATATAGCTAAGGCAACCTGATCAGATGTAGCCTTATCCAATTTTTTTTTCAAAAGGCCATTTAAAATCTTTCATTGGCTAGAGCTGTTGGCATTTGATCTAGAGATGTACCCAACAAAAACTATAGATCAACAGGCTGTGGAAAAATACATCTGGCTCTCAACTCAGCAGTTGGACTGCTATCTTTAAACATTACACTGATCTCAAAAGCACACATTTTTTCTTGATACTCAGACCAATTTCTAAATCACTGAAACTAGCAGTGAATTATGAAGCAAAAACTTCAAAATACCTTTTGCGTGTCAACCATCTGTCATGCGGGCAAACAAAGGTAGAACTAAATTGAAGAAATGCTGCATCATCGGGAAAGCCAGAAGAAGATGTAGGGAACATTTGTGTATGAAAAGCAAGTAGAAAATGAGCAATGTGTTCAATAGGGGAGTTAAATTGGGAAAGGGTTTTTTATTTTATTTTTTTATATTTAAAAAAGCGTAGTGGGGAATAGTAAAGACTTAATGTGTATAGCAGGGAAAGAAAAAAATACAAAAGAAAAGTAGAAAGTATAAAACTCACTGTTATTGTGTGTTCTTCAAAAAAAGAAAGAAATATTGAAGTAATATAAAGTTACAGCTCTTTGCCTACTGAATACTGTGATGATTATTAAAAAGAAGGATATATGCAAGTCCAGTTCAGTGAACCATTATTTTTTTGAAATGCGGTATGTGTTATAGTTTTACCAGAAAGAGAAGTAAAACTGCTGGTATATTCATTTCTGTGCCAATACTCAGATGGCTTTTTAAAGCCAACATGTTACTGCTATTACACTCCAATTTTAGAAGTCAAACAATAAGTCTATTTTTACCATGATGCAGATAGATAAATTGACTGACTGGGAAGACACAGGGGTTTAGATCCTGGGGTAGCCCTTTCTAATAGTAATGTTCAGTAACTTCCTACAAGATAAATGTTCAGCATCGTTTAGAAACTGGCCATACTAGATGTACTTCCTTTTTTTTATTCTCTATTGAAAAGAATAGGAATCATTCAGCATTCATTTGCCTTTGACCAATTCCTGACAAATCCTGTGCAAACTAGCAATCACAGTTTAAATAAACTACAAAAGTTAAGGTGAACTGTTCTTAAGCTATTCTGCTGATCAGGGCATAAAGGTAGTCCTCAGCTTATGACCACAATTGAGCCCCGAATTTCTGTTGTTAAGTGAGACATTTGGGAAGTAAATTTTGCCCCATTTTACCAATTTTCTTGCCATATGTCTTAAGTGAATCACTGCGGTTGTTAAGTTAGTAACATGGTTGTAAAGTGAGCCTGGTTTCCCCATTGACTTTGCTTGTCAGAAGGTTGCAGAAGGTGATCATATGACCCCAGGACAGTGCAACTGTCATAAGCATGAGTCAGTTGCCAAGCATTTGAATTTTGAACACACGACCATTGGGATGTTGCAATGGTTGAAGGTGTGAAAAATGGTCACAAGTTAGTTTTTTCAGTGCCATTGCAACTTTGAATGCTTTGAATTGTTGTAAGTCAAGGACTACCTGGGTAGCCTTTTGCATAGGCTCTTTCTGTTTGCATACTGTACACAAACTGAAACAAGTTTTCCCCAATCTGTAAAAACTTCCTGAAACTTCCTAATCAGCATATCCCCAGGAAGAGGCTAAAATTTGGGAAAGCAGAGGACATTTCCTGTAAATGTGGTTATTATAAAATAGAATAGAATTCTTTATTGGCCAAGTGTGATTAGACACACAAGGAATTTGTCTTGGTACAAATGGTCTCAATATACCTAAAAGATACATTCGTCAAGAGTCGAGAATCATCAGGTACGACACTTAATGATAGTCATAGGGTACAATAAGTAATCAAATCATACTAGGAAACAGTCAATATAAATCATAAGGATACAAGCGACAAAGTTACAGTCATACAGTCAGAAGTGGGAGGGGATAGGTGATAAGGAGTGGTGAGAAGATTAACAGTAATCGTAGTGCAGACTTTGTAAATAGTTGGATGATGTTGAGGGAATTATTTGTTTAGCAGAGTGATGGCTTTCAGGGAAAAAGTTATTTTGGTCTAATGTTTCAAACAGTGGTTGCATGGAAAACTAAGATAAACTTAAAACAGCAGGTAACAGGCCATACTATCTACTATCAATAATATTAGATCTATCCCATAACCAACTTTTCCTGGCATGTTTCTGATCAAGGAGACAAGTTCAATGGAACCAGAACCACAAACAGCTTTGACAGTTGTGTTTTTTCCCCCTTTCTCCATTTGGTTAAAGATTGTTATCCAGGTATCACCATCAACTGATGCTAGTGGATGGCTGGTTGATTATGAAGACATGGAATCAGGGGATAATGGTTTCCCTGGGGACACAGATGAATCAGATATCACCTTTTTTAGCCGGCCTGTAATTGTTGTGGTATGTATTGGTTAGCTATCATTTGGCTTGTCTAATATGGTCATTTCGTAGAACTTTGATTTTTAAAGTATTTGATAAACAACATTTATGATGCATAGGCTGATTGAACGCTAAACACTTTTCCATGTATCTGGGAGTTATATATCTTTTATTGGATCAGGAACCAGAGTACTAACCGTCTCCTTCGAATTCCAAAACAATATCAGTTTTTCATGCTGTTAAGGTGTGAATAGTCTCTTTATTTTTCCCAATGAATCGTTTCTTTCCAAATAGACTTTTCTGGTTTTAAAAAAAGCTTTCCAATACTTTAGATTTTCCTCATTTATCCTATCTCACAATCTGTTCTTTGTTCAAAATGATAAATTCACCCCCAAAAAACATTTTATTTCTGTTTGGTTGTCTCTGTTTAAGAATGTATGTCTTTCTTGCCATAAATTTAGTGAAGAAGATATAAATTGCTGCTTAATGAGGCCAGAGAGTATTGTTTGTGTGCATTCATAAGGACTTTATGATACGATTCATGAGGGGATTAGACAGGAAAATAAGATAAGAAGAAAACATCATTCTGAACCAAAGCAGTGGGGAAATAAGTAAATTTTGAAGAAAGCTTGATTTTTCTCCCTTTCAAAAATGCTTGTGAATCAGTCATATTTGAAATATGTTTGTGGTGGGAATGTTGGTGTCAGTGTCTGGGTCTTTATGGAGACGTTGTCTGACTGGATGGAACTAGGTCACCAAATCACTCAAATAGCTTAGAACTAACCTAAGTCTCAAAACATAAAAAATAAAATGGCAGACAATTAGGCGGCTGAAATCTGGTGTTTTGGCAACAGGGCTGTAAGGGATTCTCGGGGCTATAAAAATGTAATCAGGAGGCTGCATGAAGTCCACGACTGTTCTTGCCTCCCCTTATATAGTTTGCTATCTTCTTCAATACATTTGTCTTCTTGTTTTTGGACTAGTTCAACTGCACATTCCATCAACCCAGAGATTCAAAGGTTTCTAAGTTTTGGCCACCTGAAATACATGTTGGCAATGCCACCTTCGGAATGGAACTCTACGAGACGGAGCTTTTTCGGATTCCAGTCCAAGGATTCTTCTCTGTCGCAGACAACAGCCAGATTTTTGTTGAGGTAATCGACTCAAGCAGAAATAGGAATCAATGAAATCGTTTTTCAGGATCATGGTAGCTGAGAAAAGGCTTTCTCGTACATCCTAAACCTGCCTGTTCAATTGCCTCTGGCAGACAGATGTCTCCTCTTGTGGTTTCTGCGAAAAGGAAATTGTACTGATCTTGAATTAAGATAATTTTTGTGGTAAAGACCAAGGAATCTTAGTAATATGGCAAGTTCAGTACAAAACGTGTGTCTTCCTCATCAAGTCTTCTATGAAATAACAGTCGTTCATGAAAATAATGCCCTATTGTTTCATGTTTTTCTCTTTAAAATTGAAGCAAAACTGATTTCACATGCATGAGCACGCACAGTTTAAACAATGAGCAGGCACAGTTCTTTCCTTCTTTTATTTATGATTGTCCATCCCAAGCATCTCTGGGTGGTTTTGCACAACCAAGAACTATGAAAAAAAATTCAAGAACTGCTGTGTATCATATGCAAACTCTTAATATACAACAGTGTACCCTTCTTTCTCCGGCTCTCTTTTTAAGGAGGAGAAGATAAAATTCTCACTTGTTCCTTAATTTGTTAATGCCCTGTTCTAGTATCAGGTTGATCATTTTTGATTCTGTAAAAACTAACGTTCACATCCAACTACAGTTAACCAAGTCTGTGTCACCACACTTTAAAATAGAGTGTAGTTCCTCTTGGTAATGAGATTATGCAAAAATAGAATGCAGTTAGTTTTCATTTGACTTGGCATTTTATGTGAAGACAGCCAATTAAGGTTTAGAGAACAAACTAGAAATAAACCATGAGTTGGCATACTAAAGTTTTCGAGGATATTACACCTATAAAACTATGTTTCCTTATTCCATCCACTTTTAAAAATGGTGGTTACCATAGGAGAAAAAAAATGTCTCCTGAATATTTTGGACTATAAGTCTTAAAATCCCTCATGATGTGAGGGGAATGATAGGCACCAGGTTTCCTAATTCTTCAGATTATCCAAGTGGGAGGGGTAGCCAAGGTATTCAATATCTGATTGACTGATTTTATTATATTGCTATTCAATCTTCAAAACATGAAATGTAGCATGATCTATTTTTCTTTTGTCATGCAGATTTCTCTGACAAAGGCTGAGAGATCCCTGGGCTTTGTAATCCAAACTTGCTTTATTTCACCAAATTCCTATCCCGACCGAATGTCAGAATATACCATTATTGAAAATGTTTGTCCTAAAGATGAGTCTGTAAGATTCTTCAATACTCCAAAAGCTAATTTTCCCGTACCCAACACGCATACTGATAAAAAGCGGTTTAGCTTCTTATTCAAATCCACATTCAACAGCTCTCTTCTCTTTCTACACTGTGAGGTGACCTTATGCACGAAAAAAGAAAAAGATATTCCAGGATTAGCTCTGGTAAGTTGTGAAAAGATTCCTCTCCCTTTTTCTCTTTCTAGCACACACAAACACACTTCTGTAATTACCTTGTTCTGCAATCTACACCACCACTAGGAGTTTAAGATAAAGCTTAGGCCAGAACTTCATTGGCTGTGATTTAACGTGTGGATCTGACAAAAAAGGGTGGGCATAGATGGTTTTCTGAGAGCATCAATTATGTACAGTGTGATACACCTGCATTGCAACAACTCTAGCAGGTTAACAAGGGTGAATAAACTTAGAATTTGCTTATTTAATGTAAATCATTGAAAAAGAAAATAGAGAAAGCCAAGATTCTCAGATTTTCAATATCAGGACTAAAATGTCAAGTGAAGAACACTATTGATTTTATTGAAGTTAAAGCTGGGCAAGAAATAAACACATACTCTTTATAATGTCATTTCAATTTATAAGTTGCAGATAGTCACAAATTTGGCAATTTGCAAATTCCTGCTATAGATTTGAACAGGCAAGGTAGAGATCAGCCTGCAGGAGGAGGCTGACAGGTATGACAGCCCTAGAGATTATGTTGTCAAAACTTGCTCATGAACCAACAACCAACTTGTAAGAAAAAAAAGCACAGAACAAAATTTTGCCAGACTCTCTCTTTGCCTCTGCAAGCCCAGGTTTTATTTTAAAATATGATTCTGGCTTTGTGACTCTTATGGGGGTTCGTGGCCCTTAGTTTAAGAAACCCAGCCTTAGACTTTGGCTCGCTGTTACATAGCTGGATAGTGCCAAGTTTGGGAAGCTACTTTACAATAGTGCAGCCAAAGAAGTTATAAGTGTGACTGATTGGTTAAACCAATTTGCAACAGATAATGTTAACCAATACATTTTCTATATGAGTAATGGTGAGTTTTTCCAGAATAGGTTGTATGGTATGAAGCTACTCCTCTGCATTTGGAGTTTTTATAATATTGAGGTATGGCTATATGAATGTTCTGTCTGTAAGTTGGCTCTTTTCCAACATAAAAGAAAAAACAATGAATATAATTTCATATGGTCAAGGAGTAATGGTTTTTCTAAAAATGTGGCTGAATGGTATTTTTGTACGTAACCTAATAGGTATTTTGTTGTTATTCCCCCCTTTTTTCTATGCTTCCTCTTCCGTCTCATTCTTCTTTACATTAAAAACAGTAATAAAAATAATAATAAATACAACTCTTGTTTCTTGAAAGCATTTGAGTCAGAAGGGATGATTGGTTTTGGAAGATCTTCTGCAGCAAGATCTTCTGTAATTGCCAAGTAGCATTTTCCCCATTGTAAGATTAAGCTGTTATTCGAAAGAATATTCTGTGTTTTCCCAGGATGTTCCTCAGTCATATAAGATAGGCCTATTTCAATTATCCTAGCTATCCATTCATCTTGCCCAACCTGTGCATTTCTTGTTGTTGGGACTGGTTATCCAGTCCCACCAATGTGCCATGTTAGCTGGGCATTTCTGGGAGATGAAAAATTCTCTTAAGAAGGCCAGCTTAACCACTAGGCTAATTCATTGAACTGAAGCTACTTGCAGGATCCAGTCCGGGTCGGTCACTGGGATCAAGTGCTTCTAAGCTTTCAAACTTGTTCTGGAGCCCATCCTCCAGGGACTTCCCTCCACCTGAATGTGTGCTTTAGACTATTCTATACACAGTACTTACGTGGTGGCTGGTTAGGTGTGGTTTCTTATTGATTCATTGGGATATAAGAAGTCACTCAACCCAACTGAGCACCACATAAATACTATGCATAGAATAGTCCAAAGCACACATTCTGGTGAGAGAGAAGCTCCGTGAAGATGGGCTCGGAAGACTAAACTCTGATCCTGGTGCTCCTAGACCCAGATTGGATCCTGCAACATTATCCTGGGACAACAGTGGGACATATACATTTGCCCTCACTCATGGTGTAAATTGTCATTACAATGATTCTAAAATGTTAATAAATTTAGGAATAATTGGAATTAACAACAGTGGGACAATATATGCTGAATTTTCCCAATGAAAACTGTTGTAGTTTTTGACAGCGTGATATATATTTTCTACCAAATGTTTATAGGTGGCAGGTAGAAACTGTGTACTATTGTTGAAGTGCTTCAGATTTACTGAAATTATTCGGTGCTCACCACATTTATTGTAAACAATGCATTCGCATTAATTTCCCAGATCCTGCTGCGATAAAATAATGCTATTGTTTCTGAACCTCTACTGGTGAATTATTAGGTTCCTTCAGAGGATTTTGAAGGACAATAAATGAGCATTTAAACTAAATTCCTGCATTTTTTTATTGTTTTTCTCAGAATATTTGTTTTATAGATGTAGTAAGCATCTCTATGTAGGGAAAAAGTCTCTTTGTTCCAAAACATTAAGATAATCAGCATCTTTTCTAAATGGGCAGTATTAGTTTTCCACTTGGGGAAAAAAAACTTTGAACAGTCTTATAGCAGATGAACAATCAATCATCTTGAATAATCTCATCACCTATTGTGTTCATTGTGTTAATGAAGATAGCAGTTGGGATGGGAAGCAGAGAACTTTTTCAGCACAACTTGTGAAGCAACATGTGGATTTGTATGAACACCGCACAGAAGAGACTCTCTGCAGCTTTGAGGATTGGTAGAGTTTTAAGTAATCCCAGTATCAAGGAAAAGTTGAAATGTAAAGGAGGGGGAATTCTTGCAAGCATTTGTGGAAAATATTTTTATTAAGTTTTGTTTCTTCTTGGGTAAATATTACTAAATACTGATGATGATGATGATGCCCATTTGCTGTGATAATATAAATATTTTCATTGCGTCCCTGATCTTACCTCCCTCTCTCCATCTTGCAGTGTGTCCTTCCAGATGAAGCTTGTACCTTTCTTAATGTTGATATGATCTTTGCAATGATGCAGAATAAGAAAACCTTCACCAAACCCCTTGCTGTGTTAACTAAAGTGAGATCAGAAGGTACTGAACATATTTTCAATCTCTGTATGAAAATTTGCCTTCTGACACATACAATTTTGGCATATGCCAGGAGGTGATATTATTATTCCTGATTTATAAGACACCATTATTTTTAAACACTAATATTTGTTTGCACTAGTATTTTCCTTAAATCTTCTTTCAAATGTAATTTGGCCAAGGATTCATAAAAGAATGCATTTTGATTCTATGTAACAATATGGAATCCATAAACATTCAATAATGTTGCACAATTGATTCCAGTTGTTCATTATAAAGCTGTATAATTACTTTCTTGGGGACTGTAAAAAACAGCATTTTTTTCGATGTATGAGACACCCTCCCCCCACTAAATGGGTGGAAATGTCTGTGTGTCTTATATAGCAAATGTTGCCGAAGCCCCGCCCACCTGCCGGCCCTCTGCCTCCCAGCAATTTGCCTCCTTGCAGCAAACAACTTGGTCAGCTGATTGCTTCATGAGATTCAAGGAGGCCGAAAATGGGGCACGTGGAGGCCAAAAACGGGGCACGCGTGACAATTAACATATTTTCAGGAGGAGGAAGTATATACAGTAATTAACGTACCTCTAATTATCCTCCAAGTGATCTATCCTCTGTTATCCTTAGTTGCATATTGAAGATTCCCTACCTTTCATCTGCTTGGATAAAACTTTTCCATCATGTGCAGTTTGCTTTTTGTCCTTCACGTCACAGCCCACAGCACACAACCCACATTTCCACTTTATTTATTGACTTAATTTTTCCCACATAATTACTTTTCTTAAAAGTAATAATAATATTTAGAATTTCTTTTTCCAAGGTATTCACGACTTCCAACTAATTAAATTAACCTAATTCAGTTAGCTGGTTAGTTGGACCCCTCCGATATTAACATATGAATAGTTTCATATGTTCAAAGAAAATTTGCAGTTGTTTTGATAACCCCAAATTATTTGCACAAGTAGAACTAAGAAGAGGATTGCACTCCAAAGAAACTCTTGTCTCCCTCAATATATTTGTTAGGTCTCCCCTTTATCCATATGAGAAAAGAAACAATCCTATGTTAATTTGTTTTTTATTTGAAGCTGCCAGAAATCTGAAAAGCTGGGTAAATATATATCTTTTTTGCCTTTTCATAATTGAGTGCAATGAACATTCCTAATAAATGATGTGATATATAAAGGTTCTTTTCATTGTGTAGTTGGAAGCACATTGATAAGCCAGAATAAGCCAGCGTTACCTTACTCATCCTAGATTGGAATTGGTTGTTGTTGTTTTGTTTAAATAAATCCCTGTTGTATTTTCTTTCTCTCCTTCCGCCCACCCTCTGCTTCATAAATGGAAAAATGGTAGAAAGTTACAGAATATAATCTCCCCATACTGTATGTAGTAAAGGATGAATATAAAATATAGTTAAAAAGGGCAATAGGTGATTAAATATGGCAAGCGCCAAAGCCAATCCTTACCGATTGAAGTTGGGCCGTTGTTTTCAAAATCGGGGTTGATAATAAATGGATGGCAAAAACCCAGGAGTCCAGCTAACAATGCATGTTTGCATGAAAATAATCTTTCTTTGGGCCCCGCTAACAACTACAGCAAACATGAGCACTTATACTTATTTTGAAAACCTCAGCCTTGCATACTCCCATTTGGTGACACATTAATTAGAGGGTTCCAATGCTTTCAGATGGAGATCAAAATCTTTCACAAAGGCTGTTTGAAATTCTGGAATGCTTTCTAAGGTGTTTTTTAAAAAAAGATGAAGATCAGAAATCCCTTAACCTCAGTCATATAGAGAGCGCTTCTTGGCATTTAAGCAGTTGATGGTACAGCATGGTGCGCTGCTTTAGGTGTGAAAAGGACAACTGTTTTTGCTTAGCTATTTGAGACTGCAAGGAGTTTTTGCAAATCTTTATTCTTGACACAAATGAATCCATTGAGGACAACCCAGAAAGATTTGGTCTCTGCACACAATGCAATTAAAATGCTTGCTTTTTGTGTGTTTTTCTGGCCTTATCCATAATCTCTCATGAATTTCAAATGCCTCATTGGATCAGCAAGAATGGATGTCATTTGGATTCAATCCTCTAAGGAATCTAGTACCTCAGTAGTTCAAATTGAACCAGATATTTCATAGATCTTTTTTAGACGTTTCTTATTTTAGAAGAGAAAAGAATTTGATAATAAACATGGTGAACTAAGGGCTGATAAGATTTATTGTGTGATGCATACTGGAATGCGTCCTAGAATTTTTCAGACATTCAGCTTCATGGGCAGCAGCATGCAAGTATACACACAGTGTGTCTTTACTGCCATTTACCCTCTTGGTTATGAATCAAGCCCTTGAGGTCAATTGTCATTATGAACTAAGGGCAAATTTGTAAGGCTTAGAAATACTAGCAACTAAATAAGAGTTGCATCTCCAAGACATTAGTTATCACAGATTTTGATGCAAAACAGGCCATTTGTTATGTGCATTGTTACAAACCATTCCTGCTAGATCTGCATTAGAAGCCAAATAAAGAAACTTGGAGGCACCGTAGATACAGAATCAGAACAGAACATTCAGTTCCACAACTTGCTTTTTTCTCCACGTGTTACACACGTGATTTCCATTAATGGAGATCAAGGATAATATAGTTGCATGTTTAAGAGAAAACAAATCCTTCCAGTTTTTTGTTGTTGTTTTTTAATGTTGCAAGGTTGGGCTATGTAGGCAACACCATGGCTATAGTGAAATCAATCCTAGTGAAATTAGAAACATATTTAAAACATTTGACTTGTGTGCTATTGTATGGGTTTCTTTTATTAGTTAGTTTGCATTTTCTGTTACTCTGGCATCATTCATTTGTGGAGAGCAGCATGGGATATGGAAGATTGTACAATAAGCGAATATATAATAATATATCAATATTAATCATTATTTTGGTAAACTGGTGACAGTTTAAATCTAGATAGATGTCACACCTATCTTCTGCAATCAGAGTCAGAATCATGGGCTTCATCTCAGCAGCGACTGAGGGAATTCTGGGTTTTGAAATCTGCATTTCTGAAAGGTCTCTTGACTGGGATAACCTGTTTTAAGCAAACTATTTTGGGAGTAAAATTAGTTTGCCTCTATATTATTTCAATGCCTTGGATTTACGTGTCTCCAACTTACTCTTACTTCTTTGGTCTTTGGGATAACCACTTCTGTTTTACCACAAATGCTTCAAGGATGAAATCTAATTCTTTACAGAAAGAGCCAATACTTGTGATTTGGCAATAACTGGACAGCACCCGGTAACTTTGGTTGCCTGCGTTTTTCAAGATTATTTCACCAAAGACACTCAATGGGATAGAAAGGATTTCCTTTCCTCCTCTTTACATTCTCACTCAGGTTTGATCAGTTTAACTGGATTTCTTACTAGGCTACAGATTCTACTTAAGAATTTCTGTTGGGTATAAATTTTTTTCTTTCTTTCTTTCCTTTTTTTCTTTCTTTTTTTTTTGGCAGATAAATCCTCCCACTTGAATCCTTCTCAAGGATCAGCGTGTAAGTATATATAATCCTCCTTGTTTTTAGGGAACTACATCTAGAAAAATGAATAGAATAGAACAGAAGAGAACCCCACGATTGGAAGATCCCAAAGGTCTTCTAGTCCAACCCCCTGTCCAAGACAGGAATCCTTATACCATCCTGGGCAAATTATTGTCCAATCTTGTCTTGAAAGCCTCCAGTGATGGAACTCCCACAACTCCATGAGGCAAGCTGTTCCACTGATTTATTGTTCTCTTTGTCAGGAAATTCCTCCTTAGTTACAGGTTGGATCTCTCTTTGATGAGTATCCACCCTTTGCTTTTTGTCCTACCTGTAGGTGCTTTGGAAAATAAGTTCACCTCCTCTTCTCTGAGAAAGCCACTCAAGTACTGGAGATAGCCATTAAGTCACCTTTAAGCCCTCTTCACTAGATAGCCATACCTAGTTCCCTTAGTCCCTTAGCCATTCATCATACGATTTAGTGTCTCTTTGTTGCTCTTGTCTTCACTTTGTTGCTCTTCTCTTCACTCTTTCATTCTCAGCTGAACTGAGAATGGTTGTAAACCTTTTTGAATGTATGAATTATGCAGGGTTTTTTTGAGGAGAAAACCCTTGTGGGGAAACTGCCGAAGAGGCATTAGGCCCTCAGGTTCAAATTCCCATTTTACCTTTGAAGAATACATCTGAGTCTCAAGATACTTGCTCTGGAAAAGGGGCTTAAGCCAAGAATTCTCCATCTTGGGCTGTTGAAGTAAATACACATAATATTATCCATAAAATAAACTAAATAATATCTAAATCAGGGATGTCAAACTTGATTTCATTGAGGGCCGCATCATAGTCGTGTTTGACCTCAGTGGGCCAGAATGGGCATGGCAGGGTGGGTGTGGCCACCTCGGCGTCACTCATGTTGGGGGCACCTGTGGTGGCCCAAGCACTCTGCCAGTGAAAATGGGCTCTCGAACTCTATTTTCAGCTGCGACGGCCTCCTGCAACCCTCTGCCAGCAACAATGGAGCTCAGGAGGTCCCCTGTGGCCCTGCTGAGCTCTGTTTTCACTGGCAGAGGCACCGTGGGCTGGTCCTTCACTAACTTAAGCACCATATGAGTCGGTTCCGGCCCCTGGGCCTTGAGTTTGACACCTTTGATCTAAATTAACAAAACTATGATGATTGGCGGATGGGATTCACCAATGGCTAGAACCATGGTCTCCATCTTTGCTTGCTGCTTTGCTATTTATGCTATTTCTTTCAAATCAAATAAGGCTTGCACAGGCCATGTAGAAATTAACTTGTACGACACCCTCATGAATTAAAAACAAAACAAAGTACAGGGAGTCCTCGGCTTGCAACCATTTATTTAGTGACCATTTGAATGGCACTGAAAAAAGTGACTTACAATTGGTCCTTGCGCTGGTCACAGCTTCCTCACAGACACATGATCAAAATTTGGGCCTTGGCAACTGGCAAGCATTTATACGGTAGCTAGCATCCCTTGTGGTGTTATCATAATTTGTGATCTCCAGCTGGTTTCTGACAAGTGAAGTCAATTTTTTTTGGGGGGGGGGGAAATCTGCATTTGCTTAACAACTGCACAATTCACTTAACAACTGCACAATTCACTTAACAACCTCACAATTCACTTAACCACGGTGCTTTGCTTAACAACCATGGCAAAAAAATTAAAAGGGGATAAAATCAGTTCCACTCACTCAACAACAAGCCTAGCTTAGCAATGGAAAGTCTGCTCCCTATTGTTGTTGTAAGTCAAGGACTACATGTCGGGGTGGGATTCTACCAGTTTGCACCAATTTTCTAGAACTAGTTGTTAACATTCTAAGCAGTTCGGAGAACCAGTTGTTAGAAGAAATTACTGGCCTAATCCTGTAAGGAAGGCAGAAAGGAAACTTTCTGGTGTTGCTTATAGAAACTGCCTCTCCGTTAACCCTTATTACATTCTTGGCAGGACTAGCCTTCCTGTCTCTGGAACTTCTCTGGAGATTTTATTTTCCTCCTTTTCTGGTACTTTGCTTGTGTGGAGTGACCATTCAAAGTTACAATGGCACCGTAAAAAGTGACTTATGACCATTTTTCACACTTACGATTGTTGCAGCATCCCCACAGTCATGAGAGGCCAAGCGAGGAGATGTGTGCCTCTATGTGAGTGATGTTGAGTTGGCCACGCCCAGCCAGTCACTTGACCACCAAGCCATGCCCACCAACTAAGCCATGCCCACAGAACCGGTTGTTAAAAAACTTGAATCTCACCCCTGCTACCTAGGTACATAATATTGTGGTGTTGGCATCCCTGTGAACAGTCGGCTGATGGGGAGAGATGGCCGGCACTCCATCTTAGGCTGGCCTTCCAGTGAAATTAGCAGCAAATGAAAGGGCTCCAATAACCCGGAGACCCTAGAAATATGACGCTTTAAGCCAAACCTCAATAAAAATGAACAAGGCTCCACCCCGTAGCTCTCTTCGCATAAAAGGAGTGAAAGTTGCGAATGGCTGGAAGTGGCTGCGACTGCTCAGCAGACGTTCAAAGCCCTGCTTTCAGGAACCAGATGTACACTCACACGAATTATCCTGCCTCTCCCAATACGGGCTCCATGTTACAGCCTGGAACCGATTTCCGTCATTAAAACTGCTGCCAAAATGTGAAAAACAATTGTTTCTATTTATGTATTTGCTGACTTTCAAGCTGGCACTCCTGCTTGGTTGACAGCCTTTCCGCTCCCCGCTTAATATGCTGCTGAAGACAGTTGGGGAGACGGGACGGAATTGGCAGAGGCCTTGTTTCATTATTTGAATTGTGTTTTATCCTGCCTTACCTCAGAGGCGCAAGCGTGAGGGGTCCATGGATTCAAAAACAGAGGAGGCTAAAATTAGAGAAGTAAGTTATTTTTGGTCTTTTCAACTTAAAAACAAGCAGAAAGCGGCAGGAAACCTACCAGGCCGAAGCTGCACATGGGAGAGTCACATTTTAAAATTGCATCCTGCTTCTCTGCTTTGTTCTTGTGAAATAACGGGCCGCGCTATCCGAAGACCTACTAAATAGTTTATTTGGACTTTTCCTTTGGGTGGACGTTGTGATCCCAAATCTACACACCCAGCTTTTTTCACACCCAGCTTTCCCCTGTTGTGTTGGCAGAATCAGCATGAAGCTTGAACATCCTCAGGGAGTCCTCGACATCACAATTGAGCTCAACATTTCTATTGATAAGCGAGAGAGATGTTAAGTGGGTTTTTTTTTACCCCATTTTGCAACCTTTCGTGGCACAGCTGTTAAGTGAATCGCTGCAGTTGTAAAGTTAGTAACACGGTTGTTAAATGAACCTGACTTGCCCGATTGACTTTGCTTGTCTCAAAAGGTGTTCCTGGGACACGTCAACTGTCTCATAAATGTGAGTCAGTTGACAAGCGTCCCGAATTTTGATCACGTGACTGTGGGGATGCTGCAACGGTCATAAGTGTGAAAAACGATCATAATTCCCTTTTTTTCAATGCTGTCGTAACTTTAAACAGTCACTAAATGAATGGTTGTAATTCAAGGACTACCTATACTGACATGGGCCAGAAGCAGAGGGGAGGGGGAGGCAGAACAAGCTACTTGAGGCAAAAAGAGCTTGAGGTGAATTTATATTTGGTTAGCCCAAAAGGTGCCAAGTCCTGATTACAAAATGCAGTTTAGGGGAGGAAAAAGGCCGTCCCTTTTGTTTTTTTGTTTTTTTTCTGAATGCAAGTAAAATGTCTTCGATTCTGCATTGCAAATGTGTTGATTTCTCTCCCCCCCCCTCTCCCCCCCCCCCCCCCTCTCCCTCCCCCTGCCCCCCCCTCTCTCATCTTTGAATTTCACAGCTGTTGTGTATGGCCTGGACACGTTGACAGTTGTGGGAATTGCCTTTGCAGCTTTTGTGATAGGCGCCCTGCTGACAGGAGCTTTATGGTTCATCTACTCCCGCACAGGTGAGTCGGATGTTTTTCTCCCAATTGCACCATGTATCTGTAACACTGACCATTTTCACTGGCCATTGATTTGCTTTTGAAAAATAAAAGCCCCTTAAAGATCATTATAGATGCCTATCCTGATCAATCGTTTGTTATTAAAAGGATTTCTTTGTAAACCATAAGAATTTCAAGTGGGGAGAATATTTATAGCCACATTAAATGACCATAGCAGTGGGTTTTTTTTCAAACTTGGCCATTTTAAGATGTATGAATTGCAGCTAATACATTGAAAGGATAGAGAAAAATGTAGCTATCATAAGTAGGGGTGGAATTTTGTCTCTTGCATCTGAGTGGAAAATGAAAATCCATTTGAATATGTCAGTTGGCATTCATATCAACTTGTCTTAGTAGAGACTGAGGCAACCATTTTATAGCCAAATATGGTTCACTGAATTTCCTGAGACTTTCTTTCAAAGAATCATAGGTAGCTTCTTCGTTGCATTGCGAAGAATATAATGATAGATCCTTGTTGTGGTTGTGTATAAGTTGGTAGAGAAAACCCAAGTAAGTAAACAAACGTTATCATTGGGGTTTTAATTTGATGTGTGTAATTAACCCTTCTTGTCTAATCATTTTCCAGTGCAGTTTTTGTGCTTTCCCACAATGTTCACATTAGGGCTCTGCAGAGATCTGCTTCAAAGACTATTTTTTTAATGGTCTCTTCCTGAACTCTTGTGGCTATCTTTTGCAGCTGAAATGAGATCTTAGGAAGAGATACTTTGCTTTAAGGTATTTAGCACAGATGCAACATGCATGCCCAAACATGCTCCAAATCACATTTTGTCTTTTGTATCTCGATTGCTGCATTACCTTAATCCACTTTATTTCTTGGTTAGAAATTGGGGGTGCTCTATTTGGGGGGAGGGGATGGAGAAATTGCTTGTCCTCTGTGGAAGAAATTATTAGCAAGGAAAGTCTATATTTCCTAAAATCATAAAGCAGAAGAGCTTAGGTACAACATCTACAAGCACTTCAGTTAAGAAATTCGTTCTGCTGTGCTTGCATTACAATAATAGAAGGTCCATTTAAAACTGAACATCTGCCATAGATTAACAAGAGAACCCATCACCTTACTTTCTTGTTTAAATGCCTCATTTATTTCTAAAGTATACGATTTGGCCTTGATACATTGGAATCCTGTTTCCTATCATTTATGAATCAGAGTTAGTTTGGAAAAGGCAGTGTCCAGTTTTGAGCACAGATCTTGACTCCTACTTAATTCTACCTTATACAAGTAATGACTAAGCCAGAAAATTGCAAGTTCAAATTCAAATCAGAAACTACAACTAGTGGTTTCCAAACAAATCGGGATATGGAAAACAATTTTAAACTACAGTATAATAACACGTCCTGTCTTACCTGAAGTTATTAAGCACGGTTTCCTGAATCAGACATGATGGAAAATTCTGATTAATTGTGGCTTGTTAACCTGGGGTTTGTGTGTTTAAGTGAGAAGCAAATAGAAGGGAATGGGGCTGTATGTGTATTTGAACCTTATATATCTGGTTTACTGAGGCAATATTTGATCATTTGAATGTGTTTATGGCCTATCCTGCTGCAACTTTATACTAGGAAGAGATTAGATAACTTGGCATAATTCCCTAAGTCCTCTTTGCCTGCTTGGTGAGGGGAAACAGCATATAAGCCTTGTTTGAGCAATTTATTCAGTGGTGACTTTAGTACACCGGCTGAACTTTTTACTAGTTTTCCCGTTCCTAGTTTGAGTACAAGTGGCTCTTTCAGATCTCAAAGTTTTGCTCATGTCCAAGGAGCTCTCAACAAATAGGTACAGAAAAACATGTTCCTTTGCAGATTCCCCTCTTCCCAGCCCCTTCCTTGTACGTGACGAGTCCATCCAGCGAATGCAAAGGGGCCAAGAACAGTCTTACTATTTATTAATCTGAACTCAGAGCAAGCCCGTTTTCTAAACGTATGTAACTTTCACCTCTGAAGATCTCTTGCTATCAAATAACAAGATTATGCAACCTGCTCTTCCCCTCCCCACGTCCCCAAATAATTTGGTGGGAAACTTAGAAGACACCCTTTAATAAGTTCAGACTGCAGAAAAGAGAGAATACAACACATTACGTTTTGCATATGTGAACTTCGTGTACTGAGGGTAGAAAAAGCAAACAGAGTGGCTTGAAAGGGAGCCATATTGGCAGGCTTCTTCGGTGTGAATAATAAAGAACATGCTGTTGCACTCAGATGCATATGACTATAAGCGGCTTAAAGATTGTTTATGGCCTAATAGCTGGGATAGTGACATTTACAAAAACATCCACTTTCAATAGCGTTCAGACAAATGGTGGTAAGGAACCTTTTCAGAAACAAATCTACCTTTCCAACTGGCTTAAAGTGGTACATTTTGTCCTCAGAAATTTGCTGCAGGGCCCCTTCCTCCTAAGAATAGTTGCTTGCAAAAATCCTCGTGAGTAAGGTTCATTGTTTGTCACAACTCATAAACTGTCATTGAGCTAAGTCCCCGACGTACAACCACAATTGAACCCAACCTTGCTGCGGCTAAGTGAAACATTTGTTAAGTGAACTTAGCCCCATTTTATAACTTTCCTTGCCGCAGCAGAATCACTGCAGTCATTAAATTTGTAACACGGCCGTTAAGCGAATTAGGCTTCTCCACTGACTCTGCAAAAGCTGATCACATGACCCCAGTACACGGCAACCATCATAAATATGAGTCAGTGGCCAAGCCTCTGAATTTTGATCACATGACCATGGGGATGCTGCAATGGTCATAAGTGTGAATAACGGTTGTAAGTTACCTTTTTTTCAGTGCTGTTGTAACTTTGAACAGTCACTAAATAAGCTGTTGTAAATGGAGGACCACCTGTATTTCATTCTGCTTCGTTGATATTTCTGAAGACTCCCAAATTCCCAATGGCCAGCTGTACAATGGAATCAGGAAGGGATGAGATTTGGGCTGTCACTCAACTGCAGCACCTATTTATACTCAATTTCCCATGCAGTAGTGACTAATCAAACTTCTCTTTAGCCTGTATTTTATATATTTTAAGAGCGATAGGTGAGTGATTGGAAAATTTACAGGCTGTTCAACAGAAAAATCAAGGATTTATTTTCTACAAAAGTGGGGAGATGCTGGACGAAAGATTGAAATTCCAGCACAGATCTGTGCCATGGAGACAAGGGGGCATATAACCCCATAGTTGAAAGGGGAAAAAATGCATCTGTTGCAAGTTTTCTAGCAAGAGGAAACGGGGGAGGGGAAAAAACACGAGATGGCATTTTTTTGGCTTCCAGATATTGACAGCTGTGTGTGCCGTTTTCCCCAAAGAGGAAAAGATATTCACGGACACAGAGTTGGAGCAAAACGTGTACAGATTGCAGCTGATAAGCCAAGGCTGGTGCGCGACGCTGTGCAATAGAGTGGTTTGTAGCCTGGGTGACAACATTGTTGTAATAGGACCCAGCAGAAGGAGATGCAGCCAGTTCTACATTTTGCAGATCATTTTCCTGGCAGAAAGATTGAGGGGCCCTATTAAGGGAATGAAAGCAGCGGACTTGAATATATAGAAATCATGCTTTTTTTCTCTCTCTCTCCTAGAGGTTCTCAGGTTTTATTTTGGTTTTAGCTAAGAAAGCTTTACCCAAAAAATCTCTCCCCCCCAAAAAAAAGGATTTTTCTCACTTAGAGATAGCTTTTACAGTGTGAGGAAAGGCTTTGTGCGCCTAAAGTTATGGGACCAAAGAAAGAATACCTAAAGTAACCTCACAAATGGGACACTTGAACTAAACCCAGGACGCAGTCCAAAGTTTATTTTGGTTACGCTGACAAGAAAAGTGGGGGGGAGGAATCAACCTTGGTTCTAGTTCCTGCTGCCAAAAAAAAAGCATGAGCCCCCAAATATTTCCCCAAATAATAAGTGAGAGAGTTTATTCATGCATTTTCTCTTTAGACGGTGTAGGAAGGAAGAAGCGGAAGGTTGGACTTGGACCCAGGACGTAAGGATTTGAATGCTTTCTAGATTGCACATCCCACTGTGTACCTTACATTCATTATAGAGTCCCTGGGGAAATAAATATGGGGAAATTTGGTCTATCGATGTTTACAGCTTGGAACAAGGACAAAGATAACTTGATAAATTATAGAGTATTGAAGACCCTTTCCTTCCCTTCTCTTAACTTTCTTTTTCTTAACTTCCCTTCCTTTCCCTTCCTTTAACTTCCCTTTTCTTAACTTTTCTTCCTTTCCCTTCCTTCCCCTTCCCTTCCCTTCTCTTTTAACTTTCTTTTTCTTAACTTCCCTTCCTTCGCCTTCCCTTAACTTCCCTTCCTTCGCCTTCCCTGAAGTTCCCTCCGCGCCCCTTCCCTTTCAGGGCTGGCCAGGAGAGTGTGAGGACAGTAGACGTAACTCTGAGCTTGTTTTTTTGTTTATTTCTTCCTCTCCTCCAGGCGAACCAGAAGGAAGGCAGCAGGTTCCTACATCGTCCCCGCCCTCTGAAAACAGCAGTGCAGGCCACAGTATCGGCAGCACACAAAGCACCCCCTGTTCCAGCAGCAGCAGGGCCTAACACAGGAGGCGGGATGGAAATGCATGTAGCAACTTCAGAGACCAGAGGTTCAGAAACAGCTGTTTGTTGCCTTTCGGTCTATTGGTTTGGATTCTTTGGCAAAAATAAGAAGGCATTTCCTTCTCTGTTTTTTTTTTTTTTCCGGCTTTTCTCTGGAGAAACACGGTCCTTGAATCTCCCGCCGCATGCTAAGGCTACACGTGACGGAGCTACTCTCTTTGTGCAGCTGTGGACTGGCTACAAAGGTCCAGGCATTCTCAATGTGAAACACAACTTCCCCCACCCCCACCCCTCTGTAAATGCTGCTTTGTCTCCAGAGGATCCCAGAGCCGAGTTTTGCAAATGTGCAGGAGACACCAGGTGTCGGCAAAGGGATTTCAGTCTCATAAGCTGGGGAAGAGGGTTTGGTATTTTTCTTCTAGTACTTCTTAACCTCCCTCACTCCCCCACCCACTGGGCACAAAGGCAGGGTGGTTTCAAAGGCCACAGACCTCCGATAGGCATCGCAGGTCACCATCGCTGTGTCACTGTGTCATTGTCGAGCTTGACTTTGGAAAGCCTTTTGCCCCTGGTTGTGCTATTCTCCATTTAAGGGATGTGTATCCACTGAAGCTTTTGAAATGAAAGCAGCGTACAGGGGCTAAAAATACATGTTGGTTAGATATTTGTAATTACTATCCTTCCTTCTCATATATCCAAAAGCTTGCTTGAATACTTAGTGTAGCTGTAAGGGTTGCTGCATTTTTGCTGCCTTGGTGGGAACTATCTTCCTCTCCCCCAGATGGAGCAACTTAGTCTCACCCTTGTAATCTAAGATTTCTCTACAAGGCACTCTTTGTATCCTGCGTGCTTTTCACCTGCTCTTTGGCTTGTGGCGATCTGCATTAAGCCATCCTATGGTCCTGTCTCGCAGCCTTGCTTCATGAAAGGCAGGAGGCCACGGACTGGTACCGGTCCGTGGCCTGTTAGGAACTGGGCCACACAGCTGGAGGTGAGCAAGGGAAGCTTCATCTGTACTTGCAACCTCTGCCCAGTATTAGCACCAGGGCCTCTACTCCACCTCAGATCATCCGGCATAAGATTCTCATAGGTGCGCAAACCCTTCTCTAAACTGCACATGCGTGGGATCTAGGTTGCGTGCTCCTCCCCCCACCCCGGTCCGTGGAGAGATTGTGCTCCACGAAACCGGTCGCTGGGGCCAAAAAGTTTGGAGACTGCTGAGGTGAGATGAGCTTGCAGATATAGCCACCTGCCTACTCACTGCTGTGTTAGACGTGGCTTCGTAGATGCATTTCCACTGAGTGAATCTGCAGAATTGTCTACGGCTTTTGTGTTGAATGGGGAAATCTTATTTTTTCTGTAAAGGCCACGCCCACCAATGCATCCATAAAGTTATATTCTGGAAGAGGGTGAGTAGGTTGTACTATGATTGCACTTGGAAGTTCAGGATGAGGTTATTTCATTGGCCAATTTTGAACTTAGGAATGCCTGAATATACTTCACCAAAGGAAGGAAGACTACAAAAAGTAAAATGATTTCCTGATACATTTTTTTAGATATTTTTACATTATTTTCAGAGCCGTCTATTGTAAGACATTCATTTTGATTGGATTTGTGGCCTCAAAGCATCTGGAGATGTTTGTAGAATACATGTGGCCATGCTTAACACGACTCCTTAAGCATATATTGCTGACTTCTAAAAGTATAAACTAATATTCAAATTCAATTCTGTGTCCCATGAGAATGTTCTGCATTAAAAGTAGCTAGCTTTTTTCCCTTTAGGTTATTGGAAAACACTTAAGGTCAAATATTGTGGATCCAGTTTTCTATCATGTTACTTTTTTTCCATTTGTTTAGTGCTCAGTGGAGACAACTATTGAATCATGCTATTTGTGACTTATAGCAACGATAACAAGATGTCTCCCATAAAAGCTTTCTTATTTTTTTGATTCCGACTCATCTCAGTTTCACAATTGGAAATGCATCAAAGTAACACTTGAAATGGCATGAAATTGTAAAAATATTATGTTATCATTTTGAGAACTGAAAGCAAAATCAGCACAGTTATTTTGATAACTTCAGACATTAGGGTTTTTTTTTCATATTTTTGTAGCTGAATTTTTATTAGACCAATTTACTGGTCAGTTGCAAGGGAATCAGAAATTGTGCCCATATAAATTCAGTTTGCAGAGTCATATTGGTTGATAATTTGGAACCATGCCACTTAAAGATTATTTTAACTGAGGTGTTTAAATATGTGTTGAACAGAAAAGTCCTGTAAATACCTCCCCCTTCAACACAAACTGTTAGATTAGTGATTGCAAACCTTTTTGGTTCATTATTATCATTATTATTACCGCTCCACCACCAAAAGCTTTAAACGTGTAAAAATATTGTGCGGTTGTGGTAATCCCATCTGAAATTTTATGAGATTTTGGATGAGGAAACAAAAATCCTGTTGAGATTAGCAGATTTCCTGAGATTTTGGCCATTCCAAAAAATAGGTATTCCTTGCTTAACAAGCCGCCCTTGGGATTCCTTTGCTAAATGCCACAGTCATTAAGCAAGACATCATGTGTCCACAACTTATGATTTTCCTTCTCTACTTAACTGTTGCAAGGCAGTTGTGAAACATACCAATGGCAAACCTGTGTCTGCAGGACACTGCAACAGTTGTAAATGCACATTGGTTGCAAAATACCTGAATGGTGATCATGTTGTAACTATAAGGATTGGTCACAAATCAATTTTTTAACACTGTTGTAACTTTGAATGGTTGTTAAATGAGGCCCTCAGTAAGTGAGGACTACCTGCTTTCAATCTTAGCTTCTTGTTTGTTTCGTGTCCTCGCTGTAGACTTGTAGGAGCTATATAGATTAGTAATGATCTCTATGTTGGAAAGGATTCCTTAGCTAATTTGAGTGAAACTGTGCACTAGGATTTCAGAGGAGGTCAAGAATGGCTAAATGCACAATGCCTGCCTGTGTTTTGCTCATAGTAGAGTCCAAAGAAAGCTGGGGTTTATGCCCCCACCTTTCCACTCCATTAAAATTACTTCTGGGGCACAAAAGAATTGCCAGCTGACTCCCCAAAATCCAATTACAGCAGTCAGTTCTGATCCCATTTTTTAAATAGTAGCTCAAGAAACAGATTAAAGAGATGTATCAGGCTCAGAGAGCACCAAGGACCCCACAGTCCAACTCTGAGCTACAAATATTCTCTTCCATCAGAAGTAGGTATAGCTTTTCACCCCTCTAGTAGAATGTTCTCACCTGCTGATGGGCAACATTTTCAATTGTCAATTTTATTAATGTCCAACTCCAGGAGCATATTCCAAAGGTGGTACCCAGGAGAGGACCACTGTTTTGGTTGCATTTCATGCAACCTTGTAACCTTGCAACCTAGGTAAGCTACAAATAGTGGTACAAAATGGAGAACCCATTTTGTTTTTAAAAAATACTCAAGACTACTACTCATAATTGAAATCCAAGATGCAATTTTTTACCCGAAGGCAAATTAAAATGAATAAAGTTCTGATGCAGAAATAATTAAATGTGAGGATTTGGGCAGATTTGGAATGTATTTAAAAGAAATTAAACAAAACAATTACTTCCATGCCTAAGTGTTTGCAGGACTGGATTGGTAGGAGGGGTCCAGATAGTCAGGATGCTACCTGTGTATTTAAAAAGAATGCGCTTTGCCTAACCTTCAGCTGAATGTATTATGCAATCATATTCTATGTATGAAAACTTTTAAAATGTCTTCAGAGAAGACTAGAGTCTTTAAATCAATCATAGCTCTATTATATTAAATGTGAGCATAAAATATAAGTATATATTAAAAATACATATATTTAAATCTAAATGGCTTTATACAAGGTGGGTAAGTTTGGTTACTGTGAATTGTGTGGCTTTGTCTAAGAGTTATATCCCCTGTTTTGATTCTTTAGATTAAAAAAAGTAGAGTATAGAATTATTATAAATTTGATTCCTGGAGTAAAATGTTAAAACATTTTGTGTAAATTGCTTAAATGTTTTTTTTTTAGAAAGATGATGCATTATGAATATTTCTATTGAAAACTACTCTAAAAAGAAGCTTTATATTTCCTGACATAAAAAATTAATTCCACTTTAACAACTAGAGAAGTTACATTATCCTGGACCTATATAAAAGATTAAAATAGAATTAATAGAGCAACCTCGCTGCACTTAAACATTACTGCAGAAAGCTCAGTTTTATTATATATTGATTTTATTATTTTCCCTTTGTTAATAATAGAAAATTCTTAATATTGTTGATTGGACAGTGAAACTCCTTTCTCAATCCTTCAGATGTGTTTGAATGTTTCCTAGAATGTTCAGTCAGCCTGGATGTGTTGACTGGGAACTCTGGGAGTTGTAGTTCCACCTGGAGAGAATCAGTTAATAGTAGACTATTTAATCCAGCAAATTTTTGTATATTTCAATTGAATTATAGAAGTTTTGATATTAGTAATATTGAAGAAGGGAGTAACTACTGTTATAAACCAGAAACCAAATAAGAAAGAATATTTTTAATCGATACCTGTGCCACAAGCAAGTGACTTTTTCACAGTCATTGAAGTATGTATTTTCCCCTACAGATAAAAGCTTTGCATTATGATGATGCCATTCATTGTTTACTAAAGGTTTTTTTTTTAGGATGGTAGTTCTTGTATTCTATTTAATGTTGCATAGCAGAGCTTCTTGTGAATATATTGTGCCACACTAACACATTTTAAAACTTGGTTTTAAAGATATATGGTATGGGATTTTGCAGGGATTTTGTCAGAACATTTGTGGATAATCAGCTATAACCCTTGTAATACCTGTTGGCAGACACCAAATTTATTATTTTTTAACAAGCCTTCTTCAATGATTTCAACTTTTTGAATTTGATTAGTGTGTATACCAATATGTCAGGATCATGGCTAGGGTGAGCCCACAATACAGAGTATATATGTGGTTGTTTTTTAAAATAAATACAATATTTGATTTTTTCAAAAAAAAAGAGTTATTATAATCCAGCCCAGCCTTATATTAATTCAAAATTTGTCAACTAGCTTGAAAATATTACCCTTATTCACAATTTGGCAAAATTCTTCTGATGTCTCCAATAAAAGTATCAAAAAGTACCCCACGTGACCTCTGCCCTTATACATAGCTTTAAAAAAGAACAAAAATCCCTTAAATATCATACTTTCTTTATTGCGGGCTTTCTCATCCAGATTTACTTATAAATATTTGCTTGCCTTATCATCCAATCATATATTTTTTTATAAAGCTTGCCAATAGTGGAACTACTAAAATAACATAAGGTGAAAAAAGACTGTGCGGTGTAAACTTTATTTTGGCAATGTATAAACTTCACTCTTGTTTTGTTTGTTATGTTGATAATACCTGTCTAATCAAAGCTTTCCCCCTGTTCAAATATTTTCATGTTGGGCAGCTGTTAAGTTGACTGTCAGCATGCCATGCATTGTGTAGAACTGGCACTACGTTCTGCAGATTTTTTTTTTTTTTAAAGAAAGAAGGTTGTATGTTCTACCTTATCCGCCCTTAATAGTCTCTGTCTGTATGCGTGTGTCCTTGTCTTTTCTATGATGTAGATCTACCTCAGGCTTCAAAAGAAAACTCTTGCTGATTGTAAGTGCAATTCAGCGGGCCCCGCTGCTGCTGAATGCCCCCTCCCATTTCAAAGGGGCCTTGGGGGGGGGGGGGGATTTCCTGGCCTGCCAAGCTCATTAGAATAAACGGACGATAAACAGCGGTGGCCTATGCTGGTTTGCACCCCGTGTGAGTAGAGTATTTTTAATGAGGCAGTTGTTCTGTTTTGTTTGCCCAACCTGGGGTGTTCATGAAGCGACTGATTCACGGTTTGGAGCCCCACCATTTCCAAACGCAAATACTTTAACCTTTAAAAGAAAAAAAGCAAAGGAAAAAAAATGGGTTTGTTTGTGTTTTTAAGCCAGCGAGTCTGGAAAATATGCCTTTTAAATCCCTGTGGCCAGTTTGAACCCCCTTTTTTGTGTATGTGCCTGGTTCATTCCCCACTCCAGGAAAAACAAAACAAAACAAAAACACTCCTTTGTGCATTTGATAAGTTGTACAGTTTTGATAAAAAAAAAAGCCTTGTAATGTTGTTACCTTGTGTTCTCTGTGCTTAATAAAAATATCTCAGTTATTAATAAAACTTCGTGTTTCTTTTATTAAGTACTCTTACATCTCGTACAAGAGGATTTTCAAAGCACACAATTTCTTCAAACCTAACAGGGACTTGAAATATTACATAAAAGAACGAATAGTCTGAGAACCACATCAGCTGTGGGAAGTAATCCAGAAAAGAACTTCCCCGAAGGACTAGTTGTAACTTTATTGTAAGGTTACCATTAATAGAATCATACAAGTCTGAAAGTACATCTCTCTCCATCAACCATTCTAGGGAGGGTCCCATGTGAGATGTTTGCCACCCCACTTTCTTTCTCTGACAGTTGTCTAATCTGTGGTTCCTCATCCTGTATCCCAAGATCACCCCGACATCATTAAATCACACTTCTTAGGAGAAGTTAAAACTAGGGAAGGGCACAATTTCCCATAACGTTGAGCACTTCCTCCGGTGTATCTCTCTTCATTAGTATCTCCTTGACTTCTTCCACTGCTTAAAACAGCTCCAAGTTTTCACCTGCTTGAAAGCATCTCTCTAATACCCCTGACAGTGTCCCTCTATTCTTAACCACCATGTTTGGATTTAATCAGGATACTGGTATTTCTATGGTTATAGATATGGCTATAATACACTAACTTTGAAGTAAGTCCTTGCCAATGATTTCAAATGTCAGATGAAAGATATTCTCCACGTGTTGTCCCCAAAATACCTCAAATACGAATTTTCCAACCTTCCCGAACTGCAGACAAAGGAGAATCTCATTACAAGGCAGCATCCAACTGAAAGGCAAATACAACGAAATGCAACTTGTTTTTAAGAAACAATGGTTTATAACTGTCCAGTTGGACAGTGGAGTTGTGACCTCTTTTAAAATGAAATA